CTGCACCGGGCCGATCCGCGCAAAACCGCCCTCGCCCATCGGCGCGATCCAGACGAGCGAATCGATATCCGGGCGCCCCTCGTCGGCTATCCGTGTTTCGATGTCGAACGCCATCGAGCGCTGGAAGGCGTGCCAATAGGCGCTCAGCCCCGCCGGCCCGTGGACGCTGACGGGCGTCTTCAAGCCCGCCGTCCAGGCAGTGTGGATCAGCGGCCCCAGTTCGAGATAATGGTCCGAATGCAGATGGGTGACGATGATCGACGACAGGTCCGGCAGGCGCATGCCGGCCTCGACCAGACCGCGCGTGACGCCGAGCCCGCAATCGACGACGATACGCTGCCCGGCCAGCTCGATTAGCGTTGCCGTCGGCATCCGCATGTCCGGACCCGGGTAGATCGCCGGCCCGCCCTTGGTGCCCAGCAGCGTGATCGTGTCGCCCAATCTCAGCGCTCCGACAGCGTGCGCGATACCGCATCGTCCCAGCCGGCGATCTTGCGGGCGCGCTCGTCCGCATCCATCTGCGGCTCGAACCGCCGGTCGCGCGCCCATGTCGCCGCAAATCCGTCGCGGTCGGGCCAGACGCCGGCCCGGCTGCCGGCCAGCCAGGCCGCGCCCAGGGCCGTAGTCTCAAGCACCGTCGGCCGGTCGACCGGCGCGTCCAGCAGGTCGGCCAGGCGCTGCATCGTCCAGTCCGAGGCGACCATGCCGCCATCGACACGCAGCGTGGTCTCGGTACCTTCGGCCTCCGGCCAATCCTTGTGCATCGCTTCGAGCAGATCGCGCGTCTGGTAGCAGACCGCTTCCAGCGTCGCCTTGGCGATCTCGTTGGGGCCGGTCGCACGGGTCAGGCCGAACATGGCGCCGCGCGCCTCGGCATCCCAGTGCGGCGCGCCAAGGCCGACAAAGGCCGGCACCAGATAGACATCCTGTTCGGGATCGGCGGCGTCCGCCATCTCGCCGCTGCGCGCAGCCGTGTCGATGATCTTCAGCCCGTCGCGCAACCATTGCACGGTGGCGCCGGCCATGAAGATCGAGCCCTCCAGCGCATAAATCGTCTTGCCGTCCAGCCGGTAGGCGATGGTCGTCAGAAGCCGGTTCTGCGATGCCACCGCGTCTTCGCCCGTGTTCAAAAGCGCGAAACAGCCGGTGCCATAGGTCGATTTCAACATGCCCGGCTGAAAGCACGCATTGCCGATGGTGGCCGCCTGCTGGTCGCCGGCAACGCCGTAGATCGGGATCTCGGCGCCGAAAACGTCCGCCTTCGCCGTGCCGAAATCGGCGGCGCAGTCCAGCACCTCCGGCAGCATCGCCGCCGGCACATCGAGAATCGACAAAAGCTCATCGTCCCAGCGGTTTTCGCGGATGTTGTACATCAGCGTTCGCGCCGCATTGGTCGCGTCGGTCACGTGGCGGGCGCCGCCCGTCAGCCGCCAGATCACGAACGTGTCGATCGTGCCGAAGGCGATCTCGCCGGCCTTGGAGCGGGCGCGCAGCCCGTCCACCTCGTCGAGCATCCATTTGACCTTGGTGCCCGAAAAATAGGGATCGAGCAGCAGCCCGGTGCGCTCGGTGAACAGCGCCTCGTGGCCGTCCGCCTTCAGCGCGTCGCAGATCGCCGATGTGCGCCGGTCCTGCCAGACGATCGCCTTGCCGGCCGGCTCGCCCGTCGCCCGGTCCCACAGGGCCACCGTCTCGCGCTGGTTGGTGATGCCGATGGCGGCAATGTCGGACGCGGCGATGCCGGCATCGGCGATGGCGCCCTTGCAGGTCTCGACCACCGTGCGCCAGATGTCCTCGAGATCGTGCTCGACCCAGCCGGATTTCGGAAAATGCTGGGCGAACTCCTGCTGGTCTATGCCGGCAATCGTCTGGTCCTTGGCGAAGACGATCGCCCGCGTCGATGTCGTGCCCTGGTCGATGGCCAGAATGTAGTCGCCCATGATGTCCTCCCGTCCGGTCGTCGTTTCCGGCTGTTTAAACCGGTTCAGGATCGGATGGAAACGGGGCGCGACGCTTTTTCAGCCGGTCTTTTCGGCATCGGCCGAAAACAGCCAGCGCGCCACGATTACCGCGCAGGCGGCGCCGATCAGCTGCATGACGATGAACAGCGGCACGTCGGCTGGGCGGATGCCGGCAAACGTGTCGGACAAACCGCGCGCGATGGTCACCGCCGGGTTGGCGAACGAGGTCGAGGCGGTGAACCAGTAAGCCGAGGTGATGTAGAGGCCGACCGCCATCGGCACCGCCTCGGCGCGCACCTTCAGCGTCGCCAGAATGGTGAAGACAAGCCCGAAACAGGCCACCCATTCGGAAAACCACTGCGCCCCGCCTGTGCGCACCGTCGTGGAGAACTGCAACAGATCGTCGGCGAACATCAGATGCGCCGCCCAGACGCCGATCACGCCACCCGCGATCTGCGCCAGGACGAACAGGCCCGCCTCGCCGGCCGCGATCTCGCGGCGCATCAGGAAGGCGAGCGTCACGGCGGGATTGAAATGGGCGCCCGAGACCGGCCCCAGCATGGTGATCAAAACGACGAGGATGGCGCCCGTGGCTATCGTGTTGGCCAGAAGAGCGACGGCAACGTTTCCGCCCGCCAGCGTGTCGCCCATGATGCCCGAGCCGACAACGGCGGCGAGCAGAAAGGCGGTGCCGACGAACTCGGCGCCCAGGCGCTGCGCGGGTGAGGACATGAGACGCTCCGGATCGCCATACATCAATACATCATGAATTATTGATGTTTTGGCCAGGCGTCAACGCCATCGGTTGCAGGCTGGCAGAGCGTGGGCTTGTCAGGCCGACCCCGGCCGGCTGCTTGTCGGGGGCCCGGCCTCGATCATCGAAAGAAGATTGATCACCGCCGCGCTCGGCTTGGCCAGATCGGCAACCGTGTATCTGTCGAGAACCGCCAGAAATGCCTCCAGCGCCTCGCGCAGGGCGCTGGTCAGCCGGCACGTTTCGATCAACGGACAGTCCGCATCATCGGGCTCGAAACATTCGGCCATCGTGAAATTGTCCTCGGTCAGCCGCACCACTTCGGCGAGCGTTATCTCGCTGGCCGGCCGCGCCAGCCGGATGCCGCCATTGCGCCCGCGCACGGTGTGCACGAGACCGCCCTCGACCAGCGGATGCAGGATCTTGAAGAGAAACGGCTCGGACGCGCCATAGACACGCGAAATGTCGGCCACGCGGCTCAGCCGGTCGCCGCCGGCGGCGCAGAACATCAGTATGCGGAACGCATAATCGGTCTGTTTGGTCAGTTTCATCGGGTCATCAATAGCATGGGCGCCCGGCTGCCGGAACGCATTTTGCGGCACCCACGCATTTCTCGATCAGTTTGGAATCGTTCCAGAAAAAACTTCCAAAAATCGTCAACTTTATGGCCGGCGACGGATTGACATGGTGGAAGCGCTTCTACAAAACATGATCGCCATTATCAAGTTAAGGAGTGCTCCCATGCCGCCCCTCAAGACAATGACGATTGCGCTGCTGGCGACGACCATGGCCGTGCCCGCCGGGACAGCCGCGTTCGCCGAAGGTGAACTGAACCTTTACTCCTCGCGTCACTACGACACCGACGAACGGCTCTACTCCGATTTCGAGGAACTGACCGGCATCACCATCAACCGCATCGAGGGCAAGGCCGACGAGCTGATCGCCCGCATGGAAGCCGAAGGCGCCAACAGCCCCGCCGACGTGTTCCTGACGGTCGACACGGTGCGCCTGTCGCGCGCCAAGGATCTGGGACTGCTGCAATCGGTCGAAAGCGACGTGCTGGAACGGCAGATTCCCGCCTATCTGCAGGACGACGACAATCAGTGGTTCGGCTTCTCGCAGCGTTCGCGCATCCTGTTCTACGACAAGGAGGATGTCGCCAACCCGCCGCAGACCTATCAGGACCTCGCCAACGCCGAGTATGAGGGCATGGTCTGCATCCGCTCGTCGACCAACGTCTACACGCAGAACATCGTGGCGGCGCTGATCGCGCACATGGATCAGGACACCGTTCAGCAATGGGCAAACGGCGTGGTGGCCAACTTCGCCCGCGCCCCGCAGGGCGGCGATACCGACCAGCTGCGCGGCATCGTTTCGGGCGAGTGCGACATCGCCATGTCGAACACCTATTATTTCGCCCGCGCCATCCGCAAGCCGGTGGACGGCCTGTCCGACAGCCTCGATACGATCGGCTGGGTGTTCCCCAACCAGAACGATATCGGCGCCCACATGAACATTTCGGGCGGCGGCGTTGCCGTCAACGCGCCCAACCGCGACAACGCCGTCCGGTTCCTGGAATATCTGGCCTCCGAGCAGGCCCAGGAATATTTCTCCGCCGGCAATGACGAATATCCGGCCGTCCCCGGCGTCGGCCTGAGCCCGTCGGTGGCCGAACTCGGCATCTTCCGGCCCGACACGATCAACCTGGCCGACATTGCCGGCAATATCGACGCCGCCATCGACGTGCTCGTCGAGGCCGGCTGGGAGTAACCGTTCCTCCGGGTGGCCGGTTTCTCCCCGAGCCCGGCCAGTGGTCTTCAAGACCTTCCCGACTTGCCCGCACGCGCTCCGGCCCGTGCGGGCTTTTTCGTTGTGTTACAGTCTTCTTCTATCGGCTGCCAACTTGTCCGGGGTTTACACATGATAAGCTTCAAATCGTTTGCCCTCGTTGCGGCAATGGGCTTGGCTGTTCAGCCAGTTGTGCTCAACGCGAGCGTGCGAGCATCCGGAGTCAGCATATCCGGCGCCGACTTCCTAAATGCATGTTCAAGGATGGACGAGAGTTGGATTAGCTTCTGTCACGGCTACGTCCAGGCCGTTGCCGACGGCCCGCATTTCGACGAAAATGGCCACTGCATTCCGCTAGGGACTACGCGTGCCGATCTTGTGGGCCAAGTCGTCCAAATCCTTCAAGCCAATGAAGGGCTCCATGGCTTGGGCGCGTACTCGGTCGTGTATGCAGCTTTCGCAACCGCCTATCCCTGCAACACAGATTGAAGTGAGACTCAAACCGCCCGCTGCGCCTCCGGCTCGGGCGCCGCATAGGGGTCGGCCAGCGCGGCGGGCACTTCCGAATGGTGCTTCGGCCGCTCCTTGGCGATGGCACGCATCATGATGATCACCGGCAGGAGCCCGAAGGCGACGATGATCAGCGAAGGCACGCCGGCTTGGTCCAGCCGCTCGTCGGAGGCCAGCCGGTAGGCCTGAACGGCGAGCGTGTCGAAATTGAACGGCCGCAGAATCATGGTTGCCGGTAGTTCCTTCATCACGTCCACGAAGACGATCAGGAAGCCGGTCAGAAGGCTCGCCTTCATCAGCGGCAGATGCACGCGGCCCAGCATCCGGCCGGTGGATGCGCCCAGCGTCCGAGACACCGCGTCCATGTTGGGCTTGATCTGGCTCATGCCGGTGTCGAACGAGGACAGCGCCACCGCCATGAAGCGGACCATGTAGGCAAAGACCAGCACGGCCATCGACCCGGTCACCAGAAGGCCGGTCGAGATGCCGAACCGCGCTTCCATGAACGCATCCAGCGCATTGTCGAACCCGGCCATCGGCACCAGAACGCCGACCGCGATCACGCCGCCGGGAATGGCGTATCCCATGCCGGCCACCGTCTTGATGAAACTCGGCCCGCGGCCGGGCTTCAGCCGCACCAGATAGCCGATGATCACCGCTCCGCCCATCGTCACCAGCGCGGCGACGAAAGAGACGGTCAGCGAATTGGTGATGAAGCCGACATAGCGGGCAGAGAACGGGTTCTGTTCGGACGACACCGCCATTTCGAACAGAACGGCAACCGGGACCGCAAAGCCGACCAGAACCGGCAGCGAACAGAAGGCGACGGCGCCCGCCGCCCGCCAGCCCTTCAGCGCGTGCGGCGCGATCGCCTCGATCCGCCGGCCCGCTTCATGGTGCCGGCGCGCTCCGCGCTCGATGCGTTCGATGAAGACCAGAAACAGCGCCACGATCATCAGGCAGAAGGCGAGCTGGGCCGCCGCCGCCCGGTCGCCCATCGCGAACCAGGCCTGATAGATGCCGGTTGCGAATGTGTGCACGCCGAAATGGGACACCGTGCCGAAATCGGCGATCGTTTCCATCAGCGCCAGCACGACGCCGCCGGCAATCGCCGGCCGGGCCATCGGAATGGAGACGCGCAGAAACGCGCTCCAGGGCGAGTGGCCCAGCGTGCGCGCCGCGAAATAGGCGGTCGGAGACTGGCGCAGGAACGCCGCGCGGGCGAGCAGATAGACGTAAGGGTAGAGCACGCAGATCAGCATGATCGCCGCGCCGCCGACCGAACGGATTTCCGGAAACCAGTAGTCGCGCGGACCCCAGCCCATCACCGCGCGCAGCGTGGTCTGCACCGCCCCGGGATGATCGAGCAGATCCGTATAGGCATAGGCCAGCACATAGGCCGGAAAGGCCAGCGGCAGTGCCAGCAGAACCTCGAAGAGGCGCCGTCCGGGAAACTGGCAGACCGTGACAAGCCATGCCGCGCCCGTGCCGATGATCGCGGTGCCTGCCCCGACCATCACGACCAGCTGCACCGTCGTCCATGTGTAGCGCCAGAGAACGGTTTCGGCGAGCCGCGCCCAGGTCTCGAGGCTGCCGCCGAGCGCCGACACCGCCACCGCGGCGATCGGCAGGATGCACAGCGCCGCGACGACCCATGCGGCTGACAGCAGGAGACGGTGGGACAAGTGCCGGATCCGCATCGTGAACAATGAAAAGTGGAGTATGGCAACCGACTTTACCGGTCAACCATTGTCATCTTGAACGCTTTTAGGAATGAGTTGCAAAAACCCTTGACTTACGCATGCGGGAGCGACATGTGTTGCAAATCGTTCCTAACAGCGTATGGAGAGACGCAATGCACCCTGCCCGACGATGGACGACCCTTGCGCGCACCGCGATCGCGACCGGCCTGGCCGCGACGATCGCTGCCGGCGCCACGACGGCCGCCTTCGCCGACGACAAGTTCAAGGCCGTCACCACCTTCACGGTGATCGCCGACATGGCCCGCAACGTGGCCGGCGACGCGGCGATCGTTGAATCGATCACCAAGCCCGGCGCCGAAATCCACGGCTACCAGCCGACGCCGCGCGATCTGGTCCGGGCGCAGGATGCCGATCTGATCATGTGGAACGGAATGAACCTCGAACTGTGGTTCGAGCAGTTCTTCGACAATCTCGACGATGTGCCGAGCGTCACCGTCAGCGACGGGATCGAGCCGATCGACATCCGTTCGGGCTCCTATGAGGGCATGCCGAACCCGCACGCCTGGATGGGCCTCGAAAGCGCGCTGATCTATGTCGAGAACATCCGCGACGCGTTCATCGCCCACGATCCGGACAATGCCGAGACCTATGCGGCCAACGCCGCCGCCTACAAGGACGAGATCCGCGCAGCGATCGAGCCGCTCAAGGCGATGGTCGAGGCTGTGCCCGAGGACAGGCGCTGGCTGGTCACCTGCGAGGGCGCGTTCTCCTATCTGGCGCGCGACTTCGGCATGAAGGAGCTCTATCTGTGGCCGATGAACGCCGACGCCACGGGTACGCCGCAGCAGGTCCGTTCGGTCATTGACGGCGTGCGCGAAAACGACATTCCGGTCGTCTTCTGCGAAAGCACGGTCAACACCGATCCGGCCGAGCAGGTCGCCCGCGAAACGGGCGCCAAATATGGCGGCGTGCTGTATGTCGATTCGCTGACCGATGCCAACGGTCCCGTGCCGACCTATCTCGACCTTCTGCGGGTGACCTCGGAGACGGTCGCGACCAACCTTTCGGCCGCGGTCAACTGATCGCAGCCGGCAGCCGCCCATTTCGGCGGAGTGCTGAAACCGGGGCATTCGCGGTCCGCCGCGAATGCCGTCATTTGTGAAGACGAGCCGCACCTTTCGCGGCGAAAGGGATATTGAACGTGCTCAATCCGCAACGCGTCGAAAGCGCGTCCGACGACGGTGCGCTGGCCGGCGAAGGCCTCGCTGCCCGCGACATCACGGTCACCTACCGCAACGGCCACACGGCCCTGCGCGATGCCAGCTTCGAAATCCCGCGCGGCACGATCACCGCCCTGGTCGGCGTCAACGGTTCGGGCAAGTCCACCCTGTTCAAGGCGATCATGGGCTTCGTGCCGACCGCGCGCGGCGAGATTTCCGTTCTCGGCATGAGCGTCGCCGACGCGCTGAAGCGCAACGTCGTCGCTTACGTGCCACAGGCCGAGGAGGTGGACTGGTCGTTTCCCGTGCTGGTCGAAGACGTCGTCATGATGGGCCGTTACGGCCATATGGGCTTCTTGCGCCGACCGTCGGCGACCGACCGCAAGATGGTCGACCAGGCGCTCGAACGCGTCAACATGACCGCCTTCCGCAAGCGCCAGATCGGCGAACTGTCGGGCGGGCAGAAAAAGCGTGTCTTCCTCGCCCGGGCACTCGCCCAGGACGGCCAGGTCATCCTGCTCGACGAACCCTTCACCGGCGTCGACGTCAAGACCGAGGACCAGATCATCGACCTTCTGCGCGACCTGCGCGCCGAGGGCCGCGTCATGCTGGTCTCGACGCACAATCTGGGTTCGGTGCCCGAATTCTGCGACCGCACCGTCCTGATCAAGGGCACGGTCCTGGCCCACGGCCCCACCGAAACGGTCTTCACGCCGCGCAATCTCGAAAGGGCGTTCGGCGGCGTGCTGCGCCACTTCGTGCTCGGCGGCAAGGACCTGCACGACGATGATGACGAACGCGCGCTGACCATCCTGACCGACGATGAGCGCCCGCTGGTCGTCTATGACGACGAGACCAAGAAGGCCCAGCCCGACGACGGACAGTCCGAAGCCGGAGACAAGGGCTGATGGCAGCGCTGCTCGAGCCGTTCCAGTACGGCTACATGGTCAACGCGATGTGGGTGTCCGCGCTGATCGGCGCGGTCTGCGCGTTCCTGTCGGCCTATCTGATGCTCAAGGGCTGGTCGCTGATCGGCAACGCGCTGAGCCACTCCATCGTGCCGGGCGTCGCCGGCGCCTACATGCTAGGCCTGCCCTTCTCGCTCGGCGCGTTTGTCGCCGGCGGCCTCGCGGCGGGGTCGATGCTGTTTCTCAACGAGCGCAGCGGCCTTAAGGAAGACACGATCATCGGCCTGGTCTTCACCTCCTTTTTCGGCCTCGGCCTGTTCATGATCTCGGTCTCGCCCACCTCGGTCGACGTGCAGACCATCGTGATGGGCAACATCCTCGCCATCACTCCGTCCGACACACTCCAGGTCGCGCTGATCGGACTCTTCTCTCTCGCCGTGCTGCTGCTCAAATGGAAGGATTTGATGGTCACCTTCTTCGACGAGAACCATGCGCGTTCGATCGGCATCAACACCTATGCGCTGAAAGTGGTCTTCTTCACGCTGCTGTCGGCCTGTTGCGTCGCCGCGCTGCAGACCGTCGGCGCGTTCCTCGTCATCGCTCTTGTCGTCACGCCAGGCGCCACGGCCTATCTTCTGACCGACCGCTTCCCGAGGCTGGTGGTCATCTCGGTCGTCATCGGCGCGGCAACCAGCTTCGCCGGCGCCTATATCAGCTATTTCCTGGACGGCGCGACCGGCGGCGTAATCGTCACGCTGCAGACGCTGGTCTTCCTGGTCGCATTTTTCTTCGCGCCAAAGCATGGCTGGCTCGCCGCCCGCCGCCGCGCGGCCGAAGCGATCGCGGGCCGCCCGGGCACGCCTGCGGAGGCCCGGCCATGACCGGGACGCTGCTCATGCCGTTCCAGTTCGCGTTCATGCAGAACGCCTTCTGGATCTCGCTGGTCATCGCAGTGCCATGCGCATTGCTGTCCTGCTATCTGGTGCTCAAGGGTTGGGCGCTGATGGGCGATGCGGTCGCTCACGCGGTCCTTCCCGGCATCGTCATCGCCTATGTGATCCAGTTGCCATTGGCGATCGGCGCCTTCGCCTCGGGCCTGTTCTGCGCGCTCGCAACCGGCTTTTTGAAGAACAACTCCCGCGTCAAGCACGACACGGTCATGGGCGTCGTCTTTTCGGGCATGTTCGGCCTCGGCATCGTCATGTACACCAAGGTCAATGCGTCGGTGCATCTCGACCACATCCTGTTCGGCAACATGCTCGGCGTCGGCACGCAGGATCTGGTCGTCTCCGGCCTGATCTCGGCACTGGTGACCGGCATCATCGCGGTCAAATGGCGAGACATCCTGCTGCACGCCTTCGATCCGCAACAGGCGCGCGCCGCCGGCCTGCCCGTCAACCTGATCCATTACGGTCTTCTGGCGATCCTGTCGGCGACCATCGTCGCAACGCTGACCGCCGTCGGCCTGATCCTCGCCGTCGGGCTTCTGATCGCGCCGGGCGCCATCGCCTTCCTGATCACCAAACGCTTCGGCGCCATGCTGCTGATCGCCGTCGGCGTGACGGTCGCATCCATGCTCGCCGGCGTCTATGCGAGCTTCTTCCTCGACAGCGCGCCGGCGCCGACCATCATCCTGATCCTGACCGCGGTGTTCTGCGTTGCCTTCGTCCACCGCCTGCTGGCCACCCGCGCCGCCTCGCGCGCCACGGCACCGGCCCAGTGACAGCGCGCCTGATCGCGCGCATGTCGCATTCAGGCATTCCCGTTGCGCGCGCCTTGACCGATCCTGACCGTCACAGCCGCATCGGGAGGATCGGCCATGACGATCATGCCGCCGCAGCACGATCACGACATCGGCGCCGTGCTTCAGCCGGTCGACCGGGCGCGCGGCCTGCCCAACCGCTTCTACACCTCGCCCGAAACGTTCGAGCGCGAAAAGGATGCGGTCTTTGCACGCAACTGGGCCGGCATCGGCTTTGCCAAGGATTTGCCCGAACCGGGCCATGCCCGGCCGGTCGAGTTTGCCGGCCAGCCGCTCCTGATGGTGCGCGACCGCGCCGGCACGGTGCGTGTCTTCGACAATGTGTGCCGCCACCGCGGCATGATCCTGGTCGAACAGGCCGGGCCTATCCGTGGCGCCATCCGCTGTCCCTACCATTCCTGGTGCTACGATCTGGACGGCGCGCTCAAGGCGACGCCCCATGTCGGCGGGCCCGGCCACAACGCGCATGAAGGCATCGACCGCGCCACGCTCGGCCTGCGCGAGGTGCGGTCACACATCTGGCGCGACATCGTCTTCGTCAACCTGTCGGGCACCGCGCCCGATTTCGCCGACGCCCATGCGGCGCTGATCGCGCGATGGGCCGACTTCGACCATCCGCTGACCTTCGCCGGCCCCGACAGCGCTTTCTCGCTGGACATCGCGACCAACTGGAAGCTGGCCGTCGAGAACTATTGCGAGAGCTATCACCTGCCCTGGGTGCATCCCGGGCTGAACGCCTATTCGCGGCTCGAAGACCATTACAACATCGAGCAGCCGGGCGCCTTTTCCGGCCAGGGCACCCATGTCTACCGCCAGCTTGAGGGCGCTGGCGGCCAACGGTTCGGCGACGCGCCCGGCCTGCCCGGCAAATGGGATACGGCGGCTGAATATATCGCGCTCTATCCCAACGTGCTGCTGGGCGTGCACCGCGACCATTCGTTCGCGATCCTGCTCGAGCCGCACGGGCCCGAACGCACGGTCGAGCATGTCGCGCTCTACTATCACGATGCGGCCGATGCCGGTGAAGAGCGTGCCGAACTGCGCGAGAAGAACGCGGCGCAGTGGAAGACCGTCTTCGAGGAGGACATCTTTGTCGTCGAGGGCATGCAGCGGGGCCGGCGCGCCGCTGGTTTTGACGGCGGCCGATTCTCGCCCGTCATGGACAGCCCGACCCACCTGTTCCACCACTGGATCGCCAGCCAGTTCGCCGATGCGGACGGTTGACCGAAGCGCGCTTGACGCATCGCTGATCGCCGCTCATGCGGATGGCGATTGCGCGCAACTCAGCGGCCTTTACGATCGGGCGGCCAGCGCGCTGATGCGGGCCGGCGACACCGATGCCGCCTGCTTCTTCCTCACCCAGGCCTATGTGTTTGCGCTGGAAGCCGGCGCGTCCGATGCCGAGCGCCTGAGGCGCCTTCTGGCCGCGCACGGCCGGATCTGACCGGGGCTGTCACGCGGTGGCGCGCACCGGTTGCGCGCCGAATTCATGCACCGAATGCACATCGAACGGCGCACCGGACTCGCGCTCGACGAACAGCGTCAGCCGGTCCACCGAAAGCTCCTGCTCGGGCAACGTGCCGAAATGGCGCCGCAGCGCGATCTCCACCCGGTCACGCTCATGCTCCTCCACATGGCCGGTGAGCGTCATGTGGAAGCGGAACGCGTCGAACACGTAAGGATAGCCCCAATTGTACAGATTGCGCAGTTCGGCGCGCGACAACCGTTCGGGCCGGCGGCGTTCGAGCTCGGCATCGCTCAACGGCGCGCGAAACCTGTCGAAACCGGCGACCACACGGTTGGCCAGATCGTTCAGCCGGCCGTTTTCACGCGCCGGCACCAGCGCGAAGAACCCGCCCAGAAGGCCGATTGCCAGGTCGGGCAGCGGGACCGGCGCCATCGTGGCGCAGAATTCGCCCAGCGCCCTCAGCAAATCGCCTTCGCGCGCATGCGATGCCAGCCGGAACGGCGCCTTGAGCGTGCCGTGAAACCCGTATCGGCGCGGCGCGGCGGTGTAATAGGCCTGCGCGCCGGCTCCCAGCGCGCCAAGCCCGGTCGCCGGGATCGGCAGGCCGGAAAAGGCGTCGCGGCCCAGCCACTGCGCGGCGGCGACCGTCAACTCATGGTCGCGCGGCGGACTGAAATAGATGGCATAACGCATGGTTTCGAATCACCCGAGCGTTTCGGTGCGCCCTTGCTAGTGTGCTCATGTGACAATTCGGCGAATCTCCGGTCGTTTTTTCCGCTCCGTCCGGCCGGCGCCAAACGCTTGAAAAATTCCGCCCGCGAACCGTTTGCGGCATACAACCAAAGCAGTACACAGGCCAGTAGCCGGGCCAGCCATTCCGCCTTTAAATAACTGTATTTTAACACTTTTTTCATTGCGGCCCGAACCCTCGCTCAATGGCTTAGCATTAAGTAGTGTTGAGAAAACCGCCCCACTGCCATGTTATGCCGCTCAGCCTCACCATGCCGTCGCGTAACGTTTTGGCATGTGGCACCGGCGGGCATGGCGCGAGGCCGACCCGCATTTCACGGAGGGGTCAGGGAGGATCCCGCACGGCTTATTCCGGCGCGTCCGCTTGCGGGCGGTCCAACGGTGTCGTGCGCGCTTCTCCCCGGTTCGTTTTTGACATGCACTCGAGGGAGGACAACTCAATGAGTGACAACCAAGGTTCAGCGGACAACTACTGGACCAAGAACCTGCGGCTGATCGGCCTCTGCCTGGTGATCTGGGCATTGGCATCGTTCGGTTTCGCAATTTTGCTGCGTCCGCTGGTGTCGGGCATTGCGGTCGGCGGCACCGATCTGGGCTTCTGGTTTGCCCAGCAGGGCTCGATCCTGGTGTTCCTGGTCCTGATCTTTTTCTACGCATGGCGCATGAACGCGATCGATCGCGAATTCGGCGTCGACGAAGAGTAGGGCGGGACAGACATCATGGATCAAACAACGCTCAATTTCATCGTCGTCGGCCTGTCGTTCGCGCTGTATTTCGGCATCGCGATCTGGGCCCGCGCCGGTTCCACCTCCGAGTTCTATGCCGCCGGCCGCGGCGTGAACCCGGTCCTCAACGGCATGGCCACCGCAGCGGACTGGATGTCCGCCGCATCGTTCATTTCGATGGCCGGCCTGATTGCCTTTGTCGGTTACAACAACTCCCTGTTCCTGATGGGCTGGACCGGCGGCTACGTGCTGATGGCCATGCTGCTTGCGCCCTATCTGCGCAAGTTCGGCAAGTTCACGGTGCCCGAGTTCGTCGGCGACCGTTACTATTCCAACGCCGCGCGCGTGGTGGCCGTCATCTGCCTCATCGTCATCTCCGTGACCTACGTGATCGGCCAGATGCGCGGCGCGGGCATCGCCTTCTCCCGCTTCCTGGAGATCGACATCTTCTGGGGTCTGATCACCGCGGGTGCGGTCGTCTTCGTCTACGCCGTTCTGGGCGGCATGAAGGGCATCACCTACACCCAGGTGGCGCAGTACTGCGTGCTCATCGTCGCCTACACCATCCCGGCGATCTTCATCTCGCTGAACCTGACCGGCAACCCGATCCCGGGCCTGGGCCTGTTCTCGACGATGTCGGAAGGCAATGCGGGCGAAGGTCAGTATTTGCTGGTCACGCTTGACCAGTTGCTGACCGATCTCGGCTTCAGGGAGTATACGGCGACGACCAATCCATGGCTGATGGCGCTCTACACGCTGTCGCTGATGATCGGTACCGCCGGTCTGCCGCACGTCATCATCCGCTTCTTCACCGTTCCGAAGGTGGCCGATGCGCGCTGGTCTGCCGGCTGGGCGCTGGTGTTCATCGCGCTTCTGTACCTGACGGCTCCCGCCGTTGGTGCGATGGCACGCCTGAACATCACCACCACCATGTGGCCTGCTGGTATCGAGGGCGAAGCGGTGGCGGTCGAAGAACTGCCCGACTGGTTCGAGACGTGGCAGGTCACCGGCCTGCTGGGCGTCGAGGACAAGAACGGCGACGGCCGCATCCAGTACTACAACGACGCCAACCCGGACATGCAGGCCATCGCGGCCGAACGCGGCTGGGAAGGCAACGAGCTGGTCACCTTCAACCGTGACATTCTCGTCCTCGCCAACCCCGAGATCGCGCAATTGCCCGGCTGGGTGATCGCACTGATCGCGGCGGGCGGTATCGCGGCGGCACTGTCCACGGCGGCGGGTCTGCTATTGGCGATCTCGTCGGCGATCAGCCACGATCTGATCAAGTCGGTCTTCAATCCGAACATCTCGGAGAGAGGCGAACTGCTCGCGGCGCGCATATCGATGGCCGTGGCGATCGTCGTGGCGGTCTGGCTGGGTCTGAACCCGCCCGGATTTGCGGCGCAGGTCGTGGCGCTGGCCTTTGGTCTGGCGGCGGCAACGCTGTTCCCGACGCTGATGATGGGCATCTTCTCCAAGCGGATGAACTCCGCCGGCGCGACGGCAGGCATGCTGGCCGGTCTGATCACGACCTGTCTGTACCTGTTCCTGTATCTGGGCTGGTTCTTCATCCCGGGAACTGCGCTGCTGGACAGCTCCCAGTATCTGTTCGGCATCCCGCCAACCCACTTCGGCCCGATCGGCGCGGTGTTCAACTTCGCTGTGGCCTATGCGGTTGCCCAGGCTACCGCTGCTCCGCCCCAGCACATCCAGGATCTGGTCGAAAGCGTCCGGATTCCCCGGGGCGCCGGCGCTGCCGTCGACCACTGATCGAGCGCGGCGGGACATTCCGGTGTCCCGCCGCCCTCACCCGAACACGCAAGGCCCCGCCTTTTTTCACAAGGCGGGGCTTTTTGCATCGCACCAAACCTTCTATGACGCCGGACGAGACCGACCAGACCAATGACGGTTGAACCGATGACAGACAGAGCCCGGGCCTTTGCGGCCTTTGCCGAAGGGCGCGCGCCGTTCCGGGCGCTCAACCCCGACCATTTCTCCGCGCTGACGCGGAACGCGACCGAGCACAGCGCCGCCGCCGACGAGCTGGTCTGCGCGATCGGCGATCCGATCGCCGGGCTGCATGTGATCACCGCCGGCACGATGCAGCTGATCTCCGCCGAGGGCGAAGTGCTCGCCGACATGCACGCCGGCGACGTGTTCGGCCACCGCGCCCTGTTGCGCGAAGGCAGGGCGATCCTGCGCGTCGAAGCGCGCACCGATGCCGACTATGTGGTCATAGCGGCCCCGACCTTTCTTTCGATCATGGACGCCGATCCGGTCTTCGCCTCCTTTTTCAGGCGCCGTGCCGATGCGCCGGCAACGGCCGCGCCGCGCGCGGCGCCAGCCGTCAACATGGTCGCCACGCGCCTCGGCGACCTGATGACCGAAAAGCCCATGGCGCTGCCTGAAACATCCAGCGTCCGGCAGGCCGCCGAAGCCATGTGGGAGCGGCACATTTCCTGCACGCTCGTTACCGGAGAGGGTGGAAAGCTGGTCGGCATCGTCACCGCCGGCGATCTGGTCGGAAACGTGATCGCCCGCGGCATGGACGCCGAAACCCCGCTGACCGAGGTTATGGCCCGCGATCCGGTCGCGCTCAGCCCCGATGCGACCATGCTCGACGCCGTCATGGTGATGACCGAAAAGCGTATCGGCCACCTGCCGGTCGTCGGCGCCGACGGCACGCCGCAGGGCATCGTCACGCAGACCGATCTGGTGCGCCGGAACTCCAATTCGCTGATCTACATGATCGCCGACATCAACCGCCGCGAGACCTATGATGGGCTCGCCGAGGTCGTTGCGCGCAACCCGCAAATGCTGGTCGAGCTGGTTGCGAGCGGCCTCGAGGGCCATCAGGTCGGCCGGATGATGACCGGCATCACCGATGCGGTGACCCGACGCCTCATCGCGCTTGCCGAGCAAAAGCTCGGCCCCGCGCCCGTGCCGTGGCTGTGGCTCGCCTGCGGCAGCCAGGGACGCATGGAACAGACCGGCGTCTCCGATCAGGACAACTGCCTGTTCCTGTCCGACGATTACGACGAAGACGCCCATGGCGGGTATTTCGCCGAGTTCGCCAGGTTCGTCTCCGACGGGCTGGACGCGGTGGGCTATTTCTACTGCCCCGGCGACATGATGGCGACCAATCCCAAATGGCGTCAGCCGGTGCGCGTCTGGCGCCGCTATTTCGACAACTGGATCGCCAAGCCCGACCCGATGGCGCAAATGCTGGCGAGCGTCATGTTCGACCTGCGGCCGATCGCGGGCGACGAAACGCTGTTCGGCGATCTCAATGTGCGCACGCTCGAAAAAGCGAGCAAGGATTCCATCTTCCGCGCCCACATGATCGCCAACTCGCTGACCCACACCCCGCCGCTCGGCCTGTTCGGCGGGCTCAGCTATGTACGCGACGGCGAACACAAGAACGCGATCGACATGAAGCTCTCCGGCGTCGTGCCGATCACCGATCTTGGCCGCGCCTATGCGCTGGAAGGCCGCATCGAGGCCGTCAACACGCGCCAGCGGCTGATCACGGCCCGCGACATGGACGGCATCCTGTCCAAGACCGGCGGCAGCGACCTGATCGACGCCTACGACCTGATCGTCGAGCTGCGCCTCAAGCACCAGACCGCGCAGATCCGCGCCGGCGGCAAGCCCGACAACTTCATGGTGCCCGACACGCTGTCCGCGCTCGAACGCAACCATCTCAAGGACGCCTTTTCCGTGGTCAAGACGCTGCAATCGGCCATTGGCCAGGGCGGCGCGCGGCGCTAGTCTCGACAGGGGATCCAAGTCATGCTGCTCACATTCATTGGCGCCATTGTTCTGGCCATCGGCTGCGTCGGTATGGTGTCCCTGGCGTTCCGCGCCACCGGGCGCAAGACGCCCAAGGGCGTGCTGCCGCTGACCGCCGGCGTCGCGATGATCGCCTTCATCGCCTATATCGAGAACTCCTGGTACAGCCGGATCGTCGCCGACCTGCCCGAAAGCCATGTCGTCGTGGCCACCGGCGAACCCTTTTCCAACTTCATCCAGCCCTGGACGCTGATCTTCCCGCGCATCAATCGCTTCATGCTGGTCGATACCGCCACCGTCCGCGTCAACCAGGCCGATCCGTCGCTGCGCCTTGCCGAAGTGATCCTCGTCCAGCGCTATGCGCGCACCATCGTCACCCGTCAGGTGATCGATTGCGAAAACGCCCGCCGCGCAGACCTGACCGACGATATCGTGCTGGACGATGCCGGCCTGCCGAAGATCGACAACTGGCAGGACATCCCGGCCGACGGCGAGTTGCTCGGCACGGTGTGCAACGCGCCGGTCACCTCCGTGGAAACCGGCGCCGGCACCAACCCCTCATAGGCCCAAAGACGGGCTGGTTTCCCGGTCCCCGACAGCTCAAACTCCACCCGTCAATCGGGCACTTGTCCGCGCGGTGTTTGCGTGCGGCCTGTGCTGCGCCGACATTCGGGATCGGGAGGTCCGCAACATGCACTGGGTGGAGCGCCTCAGCCTGCGCGCCCGCATTGCCCTGTTCTTTGCGCTGATCGGTGCGGTCAGCGTGGCGCTGCTGGTCGCCGCGATCGTCTGGCTGTCGATCCGCCTTGGCGCCGAGGCGGCCGACCATATCGTGCTGATCGTCGGCGGTTCCGCCTTTGCCATCGCCGGTCTGATCGCCTGGGTGGCGCTCAAGTTCGACGAGAACCTCGCCAAGCCGCTGATGGCCATCGCCGCCGATCTCAAGACCATAGCCCACAGCGACGGCAAGGCGATGAAGCTCGACAGCGAGGGCGAATATCTGGGCATGATCGCGCCCGCCGCGCGCGAAGTGTCGAGCGCGCTGATCGAGGCGCGCGAGCGCACCGATGCCGCCATCGAAACCGCGATGCGCGACGCCGCGCGCCAGAAGGCGGCGCTGGAGGCGCTGTTGCGCGACCTGCATCAGGGCCTTGTCGTGTGCACCATGACCGGCCGCGTCACGCTCTACAATCATCGCGCCGTCGAAATCCTCCATGTCGAGGAATTCCGGCGTGACGACCCCGCCTCGACCGACGTGATGATCGGGTCGCTCGGCCTTGGCCGCGATTTCTTCAACATTGTCGATGCGGCGCCATTCAGCGCAGCGCTCAGCGCCTTCGAGGCGCCGGCCGACCCGTCCAACCCGCTGCCGATCGAGGGGCTCGGATCGTTCCCGATCGTCTTTTCGACCTGCGACGGCGCCGTGACGATGCGCGGCCAGGTCGCGCTGCGCCTCAACGAGGCGGGCAACGCGCCGGCCGGCTTCATCACCGTCTTCGACGATATCACCACCGAACTGGCCGCAGGCCTCGAACGCGACCGGGTACTGCGCGAGGCGATCGACGGCATCCGCACGGCGATCGATGACAGCGGCGAAACGCCGGCATCTGCACCGTTGACCACAGCGCTCAAGCGCCTGGAACTGGCATCGAACAACATCATCGCCTCGGCCTGGCCGATGGCCGATGTGGCTGCAGGCCGGCTGTTCGGCGCCGTGCGCAAGACACTTTCAGGAAGCGCCGTCGCCGTCGAAACCGCCGGAAATGGCGAACTCATCCATGCCGACAGCGCCACGCTGATCGCCCTGCTGCGCAACCTCGCCGACGGGCTGGCCGAACGCGGCGATGTCGAAAAACTCGCTCTGAAGGCGAGCGGCTTGGGCCATGCGCGGCAGATCGCCATCACCGTGACCGGCGCGCCGCCCGGCGCGGCATGGCTGGAGGCGCGCCTGTCGGAAAACGCCGATGCCGGCACCGCCTTCCTGTCGGGCCGCTCGATCCTCGAACGCCATTGCGCGACGGCGACCGTGAAGGGCGATACCATCCTGATCGATTTCCCCGTCAATACCGGCGCACGCGGAACGACCGGCAAGGACACCGCGCCGGTGCTCGATGCGCGGCCCGAATTTTACGATTTCGACCTGTTCGAGCGCGACACGTCCAAAGACCTGCTCGACGTGCCCCTCAGCGAACTGCATGCCGTGGTCTTCGACTGCGAGATGACCGGGCTCGATCCGCGCCGCGGCGACGAGATCGTCTCGATCGCCGGCGCGCGCGTGGTCAACGGGCGGGTGTTGAGCGGCGAGATCTTCGATCTTTTCGTCAATCCCGGACGGACCATCCCGGCGGCCTCGACCAACATTCATCACATCACCGACGCCATGGTCGCCGATGCGCCCTTGATCCCCTCCGCGCTCAAGCGCTTTCACGCCTTTGCCAAGGACCAGGTGCTTGTGGCCCACAATGCCGCCTTCGACATGGCGTTCCTGGCCAAGGGCGAGAAGGCGGCCGGTGTCAAGTTCGACAATGTCGTGCTCGACACGGTTCTGCTCGCCGCGCACCTGCAGGGTGCCGAGAGCGAATTGTCGCTGGACGGGCTGGCCGAGCGGTTCAATGTCGAGATCGCGGAGCACGACCGCCACACGGCGCGCGGCGACGCGATCGCCACGGCTCATGTCTTCGTCAAGCTGATCCGGCTGCTCGAGGCGAGCGGCGTCGTCACGCTGGGCGACGCGCTGCGCGTTTCCGAGGACCAGACGGCAATCCGCCGCCGCCAGGCAGCCTACGGATAAGGATGGCCGTTGCGCTGTTGCGCACGGCGTATTAGCGTGCCGCCGAGGAGATATCAGATGACGAAAATGTCAATCGTACTGCAATCATACAGGTGCACGGGACCCTAGCGGGAACCCGATCGTTTGGTCATGCGCCCCCGAACACTGTTCGGGGGCTTTTTTGTTTATAAGGAACGGAAAAGCCATGCGGACTTCGCTCTCGCCGCCCGCCCCGACGACCTTGTTCATGCTGGCCGCCCTTCCGCCATTGACGTTGAACATGATCGTGCCGTCGCTGACCAACATCGCTGCGGACCTGAAGGCCGACTATGCTGCCGTCAGCCTTGCACTCGGCGGCTACCTGGCGGTGACGGCACTGGCCGAACTGGCCATAGGTCCGGTCGCCGATCGCATCGGCCGCCGTCCGGTCCTGCTCTCAGCGCTCACCCTCTTCACCATTGGCTCGGCCGGCTGCGCATTGGCGCAAAGCGTGACCATGCTGTTGGGTTTCAGAATGCTTCAGGCCGGCGCAATTGCCGGCTTCGTCCTGTCGCTGGCCATCGTGCGTGACCTGGAAGACGGCCCGGACGTCGCGCGGCGGCTCGGCCGAATCAGCATGGTCATGGCAATCGCCCCAATGCTCGGCCCTATCCTCGGCAGCTTGCTCGATGTCGCGGTCGGCTGGCGGGCCGTGTTTGCGCTCTATGCTGTCTTGGGCGCTGGCCTCTTGCTGCGTGTCTGGACCGACCTTGGTGAGACCCTGCCCCACGCATCGGGCGTTGAAGACCCGCATGCCCGGAAGGCGTCGCGGCTCCTCGGCGAACCCCTCTTCTGGTGCTACGCGCTCTGCACCGCCTTTTCGACCGGTGCGTTTTTTGTTTTCATCGCCGGCGCGCCGCTGATCGCGGTCACCGCGTTCGGGATCACGACGGCGCAATTGGGTGCCATCGTCGGCTCGATCACTGCCGGCTTTTTGATCGGCAGCTTTCTCACCACCCGTTTGGTTCTGCGCTTCGCCCCCGACATGGTGATGCTTGCAGGACGCATCGTCGCATGCGTGGGAATGCTGTCGGGTCTTGCCATCCTGGGAGCCGGTATCGCCACACCCTTCACCTTTTTCGGCTGCACCGTTTTCGTTGGATTGGGCAACGGGCTGACGATGCCCAACGCCAACGCGGGCGCCATGTCAGTCCGGCCGCATCTGGCCGGCAGCGCGGCGGGCGTCACCGGCGCGCTGACACTGGCCGGCGGCGCAGCGCTAACCAGCCTGACCGGTTTTGTGCTGACACCCGACGCGGCGGCCGCGTTGCTAGCCCTGATGTTGCTGACATCCTTAGCCGGGCTCGTCGCCGCAACCGGCGTGCTGGTCCTGAAAAAGCGGCAGCGTCGGCTTGCCGCGGCCCGCGCGGCGTGAGGCAACCGGCCCCGCCCTACTCGGCGGCTTCGGTCGGATAGTTGCGGCGGCGTTCGCGCTCGTCGAGCAGGTCGAGCAGGTTCTCGGCCGCTTTCAGAATGTCGGTTCCGGGCCCGAAGATCGCCGCCACGCCCGCCTGCCGGAGAAAATCGTAATCCTGCGCCGGGATCACGCCTCCCACGATCACCGCCTTGTCGGCCGCATCGCGCGCCGCCAGTTCCTTGACGAGAATCGGCGCCAGCGTCTTGTGGCCCGCCGCATGCGAACTCATGCCGACAAGCTCCACATCATGGTCGACAGCCATCTGCGCCGCCTCGTCCGGCGTCTGGAACAGCGGGCCGACATGGACGTCGAACCCCATGTCGCCAAACGCCGTGGCGATCACCTTGGCGCCCCGGTCGTGCCCGTCCTGCCCCATCTTGGCGATGAAGATCGACGGCGGCTTGCCGGCGCGATCCTTGCGCGCCTCGATCCGCGCCCGCACGCCGGCGAACCGCTCGTCGCCCGCATAGGCTTCGCCATAGACGCCCTTGATGGTGATCACATCGGCCACGTGCCGGCCGAACGCCGTTTCCATCGCCGATGATATCTCGCCGACGGTGGCGCGCTTGCGGGCTGCGTCCACGGCGAGTTCGAGCAGATTGCCCTCACCCGATTTCGCGGCCTCGGTCATCGCGGAAAGCGCGGCCTGGCATGCCGTCTCGTCGCGGCTCGCCCGGATGCGCTTGAGCCGCGCCACCTGGCTGGCCCGCACCGCCGTGTTGTCGATGTCCAGAATGTCGATCTCGTCTTCTTTTTCGAGCCGGAACCTGTTGACGCCGACAATCACCTCCTCGCCCCGGTCGACGGCGGCCTGACGCCGGGCGGCGGCCTCCTCGATCAGCCGCTTGGGCAGCCCATCCTGCACCGCCCGGGTCATGCCGCCGAGCGCTTCGACTTCCTCGATCAGCGCCCAGGCCTTGTCGGCCATCTCTTTCGTCAGGCTCTCGACATAGTAGGAGCCGGCCAGCGGATCGACGGTCCTGGTCACGCCGGTCTCGTTCTGCAGGATGAGCTGCGTGTTCCGCGCGATGCGCGCGGAGAATTCCGTTGGCAAGGCAATGGCTTCGTCAAAGGAGTTCGTGTGCAGCGATTGCGTGCCGCCGAGCGCCGCCGCCATCGCCTCATATGCCGTGCGCACTATGTTGTTGTAGGGGTCCTGCTCCTGCAGCGACACGCCGGACGTCTGGCAGTGCGTGCGCAGCATCGACGATTGCGGCTTTTTCGGCTCGAACTCGTCCATGATCTTCGCCCACAAGAGGCGTGCGGCGCGCAGCTTGGCCGCCTCCATGAAAAAATTCATGCCAATGCAGAAGAAGAAGGACAGCCGCCCGGCGAACGCGTCGACATCCATGCCTTTCTTGAGCGCCGCGCGGACATATTCGCGCCCGTCGGCCAGCGTGAAGGCCAGTTCCTGCACCAGCGTCGCGCCCGCCTCCTGCATGTGATAGCCGGAGATCGAGATGGAATTGTACTTCGGCATCTCCGCCGCCGTGTATTCGATGATGTCGGCGACGATCCGCATCGAGGCTTCGGGCGGGTAGATGTAGGTGTTGCGGACCATGAACTCCTTCAAAATGTCGTTCTGGATGGTTCCGGACAGTTTCGCCCGGTCGACGCCCTGCTCCTCGCCGGCGACGATGAACATCGCCAGCACCGGGATGACGGCGCCGTTCATCGTCATCGACACGCTCATTTCCTCAAGCGGAATGCCGTCGAACAGGATCTTCATGTCCTCGACCGAATCGATCGCGACACCCGCCTTGCCGACATCGCCGACGACACGGTCATGGTCGGAATCATAGCCCCGGTGGGTGGCCAGATCGAAGGCGACCGACAGGCCCTTCTGGCCGGCGGCCAGCGCCTTGCGGTAGAACGCGTTGGAATCCTCGGCCGTCGAAAAGCCGGCATATTGCCGGATCGTCCAGGGCCGGCCGGCATACATCGTCGCGCGCGGACCGCGTGTGAAGGGCGCCATGCCCGGCAGGCCGCCCAGATGGTCCGCGCCCTCCAGATCGGCCTCGGTATAGAGAGGCTTGACGGCGATGCCCTCGGGTGTCTTCCAGACCAGATCGTCCGGCGACATGCCCTTCAACTCGCGCTCGGCAAGCGCGCGCCAATCGTCCAGTGTCGGCTTTTCCCTGTCTGCCATGGCGCGTCTCCATCCCGTGATCGATGCCCGTTCATAATGCGCCCGCCGGCGCCCGCAATGCAACGAATGTATGGACGCCGGCCCGGCGCACGGTTATCAGCCGCCCATGCGTGTGGTCTCCATCGGCGAATGCATGATCGAATTGTCCGGCCGTTCCGGCACGAGCTGGCAGCAGGGCTTTGCCGGCGACACGCTGAACACGCTTTGGTATCTGCGCGCGCTGCTGCCCGCCGGCGCAGCAGCCGATTACGTCACCGCCTTTGGCGACGATCCGTTCTCGGCCGAGCAGATCGCCTTTCTCAAAGCCAATGGCATCGGCATTGCGACAAGTCCGACCATAACCGGCAAGGCACCGGGGCTCTATGCGATCGCGCTCGATGATCAGGGCGAGCGCTCCTTCACCTATTGGCGCAGCGAGGCCGCCGCCCGGCACCTGGCCGACAATGCGCTGGCGCTTGAACAAGGTCTTGCCGGCGCGGATCTCGTCTATTTCTCCGGCATCACGCTGGCGATCCTCGACACCGATAGCCAGCAACGCCTGACGGACGCGCTGGAGGTCGCGCGCGACGCCGGCGCCATGATCGCCTTCGACCCCAATTACCGCCCCCGCCTTTGGCCCGATGAACAACAGGCGCAAACCGCCATCGAAGCCGGCTATCGGACGAGCACGATCGTGCTGCCGACCTTCGACGACGAAGCCATGCTTTTCGGCGACGCATCGCCCGAAGCAACCGCCGGGCGGATCGCCGCCCACGGCCCCGAGACGATCATCGTCAAATGCGGCGCCGCCGCCGCGCTTGTCCATCATGACGGCACACCCGAAACGGTCGCCCCGGAAGCAGGAATTGTTCCCGTCGATACGACCGGCGCCGGCGACAGCTTCAACGGCGGCTGGCTCGCCGCTCATCTTGCCGGTCGCGGCCCGGCCGATGCGACGCGTTTCGCCCATCGCGTTGCCGGCCGCGTCATCGGCCATCACGGCGCGCTTTTGCCGATGGGTGACCTTGACGATCTGCGGCGGGCGAACACCGGCGCCGGCTGACCAAAACGGCCTTTTCCTTCGCGCCCAAACCGGATAGACACGCGCTCGAACAAAGGCCGGGCGAAAGGCCCGCGCGCCGCAACGCGCAAGAACAAAGGACACCGAAAGTGGCCACCACGTTTGACAAAGTCGCCGACATCATCGCCGAGACCAGCGAGATCGACCGCGAAACCATCACGCCCGAAAGCCACACGATCGACGATCTGGGCATCGACAGCCTCGATTTCCTCGACATCGTTTTTGCGATCGACAAGGAGTTCGGCATCAAGATTCCGCTCGAGCAGTGGACCCAGGATGTCAATGACGGCAAGGTTCCCACCGAGGAATATTTCGTCATCAGCAATCTGTGCGGCAAGATCGACGGGCTGGTCGCCGCCAAGGCCGCCTGACATCCCCCACACCGGAGGCAACCGGACATAGTGGCCCATTCCGCCGTCATCACCGGCATCGGCATCGTCACCGCCATGGGCGTCGGCCTAGAGGCCAACTGGCAGGCGCTGACCGATGGTTCCGCTCCGGTGGTCGATGCCGACCGCTTTGCGCCCTATCCGGTGCATCCGGCGCCAGAGATCGACTGGTCCGAACAGATCCCCAAGCGCGGCGACCAGCGCCAGATGGAGGCCTGGCAGCGCCTTGGCACCTATGCGGCGGGCCTCGCGCTCGACGATGCCGGCATCAAGGGCGACGAAGCCCTGACCGGCACGATGGACATGATCGTCGCCGCTGCCGGCGGCGAGCGCGATGTGGCTGTCGACGCCATGATCCTCGCCGAGGCCGCTGCGGGCCGCAACGACATCGGTGTCCTGATCAATGAAAAGCTGACCACCGAACTGCGCCCGACGCTGTTCCTGGCGCAATTGTCCAACCTTCTGGCAGGCAACATTTCGATCGTCCACAAGGTCACCGGCTCGTCGCGCACCTTCATGGGCGAGGAAGGCGCGGCCATGTCGGCGGTGCAAACCGCCGTCGCGCGCATCCGCGCCGGCCAGTCCACCCACGCGCTGGTCGGTGCCGCCTTCAACGCCGAACATCCCGACATGCTGCTCGGCTACGAGATGAACCGGCATCTGGCGCGCGGGCCGTGGAAACCGGTCGCCGAACGCGCATCCGGTGAAGGCGGCGGTCTCGTCGCCGGCTCCGGCGGTGTCTTTCTGGTCATCGAGGAGGCCCGCCACGCGGCCGCGCGCGGCGCGGCGGTCCATGCCGCCATCGGCCCGGTCGCCGTCGATGCGGGCGAAGCCGAGGCCACGCCATCGCGCCTCGAACGGCTCGCCAACGAGACCGGCCTCGACGACGCCGACATGATCGTCTCGGCCAATTCCGGCGCCCTTGCCCGCAATGCCGCCGAGGCCGCACTTGCCGCCGCGCGCTGGCCCGAAAGGCCCGTGCGCGCCATTGCCAACAAGACCGGCCATCTGCGCGAGGCGCAGTTTCCGCTCGCCATCGCCGTTGCGGCCCTGTCGATCGCCAAGGGCCGGCCGGTGGCGCCGCTCGAAGCCGCCGAAGCGTCCGCCGGCGGCCCGCCCGGCACCATCGGCGTGGTCGCGCTCGGCCATCAGGTTGCCGAGGCGATGGTCCGCATATCCACACCGGAGCAGGCAAGATGAGCGCCGTCACCGACAAGGCCGGCCGGCCGCTGATCGCCATCACCGGCGCGGGCATCGTCTCGCCGCTCGGACGCGGCAAGACCGACAATTGGGCGGCACTGACCGCTGGCCGCTCGGGCATTCACCGCATCGCCCGCTTTCCCACCGACCATTTGCGCACGACCATCGCCGGCACCGTCGATTTCATGACCGCGCCCGAGGATGGCTCCACTGCCCTCACCTACGCACTGGCCGAAGCCGCCGCGCTCGAAGCACTTGAGGAAGCTGGCTTTTCGAGTGATTTCGGCGGACCCTTGTTCGTCGCCGCCCCTCCGGTCGAACTGGAATGGCACCAGCGGCTGTCGCTCGATGCGGAAGGAGCGGCGCTGGGCGAAGGCGATGCGGGCTATGACCGGATCCTGGCCGCGGCCCGCGCAACGCCCCACCCGCAGCATTCCGGCAATGTCTATTTCGGCTCGACGGCATTGCGGCTGAAGGAAAAGACCGGCGCGCGCGGCCTTCCGGTGACGCTGTCGACCGCCTGCGCGTCAGGCGCGACCGCCATCCAGCTTGGCGCCGAGGCGATCCGGCGCGGCGAGGCCGAGCGCGCTCTCAGCGTCGGCACCGACGGGTCGGTCACCGCCGAGGCGCTGATCCGCTTCTCGCTCCTGTCCGCCCTTTCGACCCAGAACGACGTGCCGGAACAGGCCTCCAAGCCCTTCTCGAAGGACCGAGACGGCTTCGTGATGGCCGAGGGCGCCGGCGCGTTCGTCATGGAAACGCTGGAGAGCGCCCGCGCCCGTGGCGCGACCGTTCTGGGCATCCTGGAAGGCTGCGGCGAAAAGGCCGACGATTTCCACCGCACCCGCTCCAAGCCTGACGGTTCGCCCGCCATCGCCGCCGTCAACGCCGCGCTTGGCGATGCCGGCGTTGCCCCTTCCGATATCGGCTACATCAACGCGCACGGCACCTCGACGCCGGAAAACGACAAGATGGAATGCCTGTCGCTGACAGAAGTCTTCGGCGAGGGGCTGGGCGGCGTGCCGATCTCGTCCAACAAGTCGATGATCGGCCACACGCTGACCGCCGCCGGTGCCATCGAGGCCGTTTTTTCGCTGATGACGATCCGGACCGGAACGCTGCCGCCGACGATCAACCACGCCAACCCCGATCCGGCGCTGGCGCTTGACTGCGTGCCCAACGAGAAACGCGATGCGGCGGTGACGCGTGTCCTGTCCAATTCGTTCGGTTTCGGCGGCCAGAACACCTGCCTTGTCATCGCGGCGGAACCCGCTTAGAGCGGGCGCACTCGCAATTCGTCCGGCAAGGATCCTGCATGCGCGCGCTTCAGCTCGTTGAAGACCGGAAAGTCGAACGTGTCACCATCGGCCCGCCGCCGCCCCCCGGCCAGGGCGAGGTGCGCCTGCGCGTGCAGGCCGTCGCGCTGAACCATATCGATGTGTGGGGCTGGCGCGGCATGGCGTTCGCCAAGCGCAAACTGCCGCTGACGATCGGCGCGGAGGCGAGCGCGGTCGTCGATGCGGTCGGCGCCGGCGTCTCCAACCTTCTGCCCGGTCAGCTCGTCTCCATCTTCGGCGCGCGGACCTGCGGCCTTTGCCGCGCCTGCCGGCAGGGCCGCGACAATCTGTGCGAGCATGTCGGCGGCGTGCACGGCTTTCATCTGGACGGCTTTGCCGCCGAGATCGTCACCATGCCGGCGCGCAACTGCGTGCCCGCCCCGCCCGGCGTCGATGCCGTCGGTGCGGCGCTCGCGCCGATCACCTTCGGCACGGTCGAACACATGCTGTTCGACAACGCAAAGCTGGAACCGGGCGAGACGATCCTCGTCCATGCCGGCGGCTCGGGCATCGGCTCCGCCGCCATCCAGCTTGCCAAAAGCCATGGCTGCACGGTCATCACCACCGTCGGCTCGGACGCCAAGATCGAACCGGCCAAGGCGCTCGGCGCCGACCATGTGATCAACTATCGCGAGGACCGGTTCGAGGGCGCCGTCCGCAAGCTGACCAAGAAGCGCGGCGTCGATGTCGTCTTCGAGCATGTTGGCGCCGACACCTGGGCCGGCTCCATGCTGTCGCTCAAACGCGGCGGAAGGCTCGTCACCTGCGGCTCGACCTCCGGCGTTTCAGCGCCGACCAATCTGATGATGCTGTTCCAGCAGCAATTGCGGCTGATCGGCTCGTTCGGCAGCACGATGGCCAACATGGCCGACGCCATGGAGAAGATGGCGCGCGGGCTGGCCGCGCCCGTGATCGACACCGAGGTCGGCTTCGACGGCATCGACGCGGCGCTGGCGCGCATGGAGACGCGCGACGTCTTCGGCAAGATCGTTCTGCGGATGGATGGCTGAGCGACGGCCATGACGCCCGCCCAGGTCCGACTGCTGAAGCTGACCCAGCGGGCCAAGCGCGCGCGCTACTGGCTCGAAGCCCATCTGACCTTTGCCATTCTGGCCGTCCTGAAACTGCTGCCGGCCGATGCCGCGATAAACGCGCTGGCGGCCCTGCTTTCGCGGGTCGGTCCGCTGCTGCCGCGCCAGCGGGTGGTCCTCGACAATCTGGACAAGGCGATGCCGGAACTGTCCGGCGACGAGCGCCGCGCCATCGCCCGGCGCATGTGGGGCAATATGGGCCGCCAGGTGGCCGAATATGTCGTATTGGACAAGCTTTTCGATTTCGACCCCGATGCCGACCAGGACGGCCGCATCGAGGTGCGCGGCAAGGACATCTTCATTCGCCTTCACGAGGCCGGAAAGCCGGTGATCTTCTTCACCGGCCATACCGGCAATTTCGAACTGCTGCCCATCTGCGCGGCGACCTTCGATCTCGAGGTGACCGCCCTGTTCCGCCCGCCCAACAATCCCTACGTGGCAAAGCGCGTGCTGGCGGCGCGCAAGACGACGATGGGCCAGCTCGTACCGTCCAAGACAGGCGCCGCCGCCGGACTCGCCCGCGCACTGTCGGACGGCAGGTCGGTCGGCGTGCTGGTCGACCAGAAGTTCCACCGCGGCCGGCTCGGCACCTTTTTCGGACAGCCCGTGCGCACCAATCCGCTGCTGCCCAAGCTGGTGCGCCAGTTCGACTGTCCGGTCCATCCGGCGCGCTGCGTGCGCCTGCCCGGCAACCGCTTCCGGCTGGAACTGGAAGAAGCGATCGAACTGCCGCGCGACGGCAACGGCAAGATCGATCTGGATGCATCGACGCAGGTGCTCAACGATGTGGTCGAGCGCTGGGTGCGGGAGTACCCCGACCAGTGGATGTGGATGCACCGGCGCTGGGATCCCAAGACGCTGGCCGATCCCCGATCCCGCAACTGAAAACGGCGCCCGGAAGGCGCCGCCGTCGACCCATCGCTCAGTGGCGGATGCGCACCCGCATGTTGCTCGGCCCGACCTGGCGTGTCAGGTCGTAAAGACGCTTGGCATTGGCTGTGTGCAGCCGCACGCAACCGGCCGAGGCCGGACGGCCAAGCCGCGACACCGCGCCGGTGCCATGGATCGCGTAGGGCCCGCGGAAGAAGATCGAATACGGCATGTTCGACCCGTAAATGGTCGAACGCCATTTGCGGTGCATGCGCTGCGGCCGGAACGTGCCGATCGGCGTCACCTTGCCCGGACGGGCGGTGGAAACCGGCCATCGGTAGAGTACGCGGCCATCCTTGCGCACCGTCATGGTCTGACTGGAAATGTCGACATCGGCAACCAGTCTTGCGGCAACCGCATCGCCCGCCGTCGGAAACGCGATGGCGACCGCCAGCGCAAAGATCAGAAGAAACTGTTTCATCGGCCTCGCCCCCGAATGAACGCAAAACTAAAAGAACCGGCCTCAGCGTACTGCCAACGCCGGCAGGCGTCAAAGTCCGCCCGCCATCCTTCTGCCGTTAGTCTTAATGGCGGTCTGTGCGCGGGCGCACAGACGGCACCGCCGCGCACAGGGGCCAAACCCCGAAAATCGCTTGCAAAACAGCCGGGCGCGCGCACTATGCCGGCCATGTCCGAGCATCTGCGCAAGGCCGTCGAGGACCGGCGCGACGAGGTCGTCGCGCTGACGCAGGCACTTGTCCGCTTCCCCACCGTCAACCCGCCGGGCGATGCCTACGGGCCATGCGCCGAGTTCATGGCAAAGCGCCTGCATCGGTCCGGCTATGAGACACGGCTGATCGTCGCCGAGGGCGAGCCGGGCCACACCGACCGCTTTCCGCGCGTCAATGTCATCGCCCGGCGCGAAGGCCGCGCGCCCGGCAAGACCGTCCATTTCAACTCCCATATCGATGTCGTCGAGGCCGGCCATGGCTGGTCCGTCGATCCGTTCGAAGGCGTGATCCGGGACGGCAAGGTGTTCGGGCGCGGCACCTGCGACATGAAGGGCGGTCTCGCCACCTCCATCATCGCCGCCGACGCCTTCATCGAAACCTTTCCGGACTATTCCGGCGCCATCGAGATTTCCGGCACGGTGGACGAGGAATCGGGCGGCTATGCCGGCGTCGGCCATCTGGCCAAACAGGGCCTGTTCTCGCGCCCGCGCGTCGACCACGTCATCATCCCCGAGCCGCTCAACAAGGACCGTATCTGCCTGGGCCATCGCGGCGTCTGGTGGGCCGAGATCGAAACCCATGGCCGCATCGCGCACGGTTCCATGCCCTTTCTGGGCGATTGCGCCGTGCGCCACATGGGCGCGGTGCTCGCCGCCTTCGAGCACGACCTGTTTCCGGCGCTCGCCGCCCGGCGCACCGACATGCGCGTCGTGCCCGATGGCGCCCGCGCCTCCACCCTCAACATCAATGCCATCCATGGCGGGCAGACCGACGACTATACCGGCCTGCCCTCTCCCAACGTGCCCGACCGCTGCGCCATGACCATCGACCGCCGCTTCCTGCTCGAGGAAAGCCTCGACGATGTGAAGGCGGAAGTGGTCGCCATCCTCGACCGGCTCACGCGTGAGCGGCCCGGCTTCGCCTATGCCATCCGCGATGTGATGGAGGTGCTGCCGACCATGACCGAACGCGACGCGCCGGTCGTCACAGCCGTCGCCGCAGCCATCGAGGCCGAATTCGGCCGCGCGCCCGATTACGTCATCTCACCGGGCACATATGACCAGAAGCACATTGCCCGCATCGGCCATCTGCATGACTGCATCGCCTATGGCCCCGGCATTTTGGACCTCGCCCACCAGCCCGACGAATGGATCGGCATCGACGACATGGTGCAAAGCGCCCATGTGATGGCCGCCGCAATCCATGGTTTGCTGACAGGGGCCGCCGAACCTGCTTAACTGACGACGGATTTCACGGGAGGCATTCCGCCATGATCGCACGTTTCGCCCTGGCCGCCACGGCCGCCTTCGCCATGACCGTTTCGGCCCATGCCGAGCGCACGGACCTGACCATCGGCGTGGTGCTCGAGCCGCCCCATCTCGACCCGACCGCCGGCGCAGCCGCGGCGATCGACGAGGTGGTCTATGCCAACGTCTTCGAGGGACTGACACGCATCGGCCGCGACGGCGCCGTGCAACCTGGCCTTGCGGAAAACTGGATCATCTCCGACGACGGGCTAACCTACACGTTCGAGCTGCGCGAAGGCGTCACCTTCCATGACGGCACCGCGCTCGACGCCGGAGACGTGGTCTTCTCGCTCGACAGGGCGCGTGGCGAGGACTCCGTCAACGCCCAGAAGGGCCTGTTCGACGCCATCGAAAGCGTCGCCCAGATGGACGAGCTGACGGTCGAAGTGACGCTGTCGCGGCCCGCCGGCGATTTTCTCTACAATATGGGCTGGGGCGATGCGGTGATCGTCGCGCCCGAAAGCGCCGAAACCAACAAGGAAAACCCGGTCGGCACCGGCCCGTTCACCTTCGTCGAATGGCAAAAGGGCGCCGCCGTCACGCTCCAGCGCAACGACGCCTATTGGGGCGATGCGCCCGCGCTGACCGAAGTGACCTTCCGTTTCATCCCCGACCCGGCCGCCGCCACAGCCGCGCTTCTGGCCGGCGACGTGCAGGCCTATCCGAACCTGCCGGCGCCCGAATCGATCCCCGTGTTCGAGGCCGATCCGCGCTTCACCGTCGCCATCGGCTCGACCGAGGGCGAAACCATCCTGTCGACCAACAACGCCAAGCCGCCCTTCGACGATGTCCGCGTGCGCCAGGCGATCGCCCACGCGATCGACCGGCAGGCGATCATCGACGGCGCCATGTTCGGCCTTGGCACCCCGATCGGCTCGCATTTCGCCCCGCACCACCCGGCCTATGTCGAACTGTCGGAAACCTATCCCTACGATCCCGACCGCGCCCGCGAACTTCTCGCCGAAGCAGGCCATGGCGACGGCATCACCGGCACGCTGAAACTGCCGCCGCCCTCCTATGCGCGCCGCGGCGGCGAGATCATCGCCGCGCAACTGCGCGAAGTGGGCATCGACCTGGAAATCGAGCCGGTCGAATGGGCGCAGTGGCTCGAACAGGTCTTCACCAACAAGGATTACGACCTGACCATCGTCTCGCACACCGAGCCCAACGATATCGGCATCTACGCGCGCGACGATTACTACTTCCAGTACGAAAACCCCGACTTCAACGCCGTGATCGAGGAACTGTCGGTGACCGCCGGCGAAGACGCCCGCTATGAGCTCTTCCGCCAGGCCCAGCAGATTTTGGCCGAAGACGCGGTCAACGGCTTCCTCTTCCAGCTCGCCAAGAACGGCATCTGGGACGCAAAGCTGGAAGGCATGTGGGAGAATTCGCCGGTCCAGGCCAACGATGTGACCGGGGTCAGGTGGACGGAGTGAGGGGGCTTGTCGTCACTGACGCCTGACCCCGTTGGTCGACCGACCGCTCTGCGGACGGAGCTGACGTGGATGGAACGCATCTCAATGGCCGCTTCTGAGAAGTTATCCATCGACGCGAGGGTGGGGCAAGCGTCGTGACGGTGTGGAGCGTAGGGCTCACCGAAAAGATGCGGTTCGATGCGCTGGATCCCTGCCTGCCACGGGGCACCACGAACCCAATCCCGCGCACGCGATCGTTCAAGACCGGGAAGCCTGGTTCGTGCACGACTTACTTCTATGCGTCCCAGGGGTGATATCGGATTTCTCCCGATGAGACGGACGTAATCCAGGCGAGATGGAGATGGACATCGAGGGAGAAGCACCGCGCACTGTGTAAGCGGGCGAGCTTTTCATTGTTCCGAAGGGTGTTGTACATCGACCGAGAGCAAACGAGGAAGTCAAGGTTCTTCTGATTGAGCCGAAAGGCGAGCCGAACTCCGGCGATTCCGAACGCGAACCAGCGCCGAAGCCACGCATCTAATCGAGGCACATATCCAGCTAAGAGTCCGAAGGTCCGTTTTCGTCGGCCATAATCGGCGGGACGTGCAGTGAGAAGTCGAGCGAGATGGGCGGTTGGGGATGGACATGAAAAGATCGAGCGGGACGACAAGGCGCGGTTCGTCAGCCGAGATCAAGGTTCGGAACTTGGAGACCGCCGATCGCCGGCGATGGGAAGATCTATGGGCCGACTACAACGCCTTCTACGGCCGTAAGGGCGAGACATCATTGGAGCCCGCAATTGTCGACGCCACTTGGACGCGCCTGCTCGACGATACCGAGCCCGTCCATGGACTGCTCGCCCTGAAAGATAACATCCCAGTCGGGCTGGCTCACGTCGTGCTCCATCCCAATCTGATCCAACGCGAGCTCACCTGCTACATGCAGGATCTATACACCTGTACGGAGGCGCGGGGCACCGGGGTCGCGCGTCGCCTCATCGAAGCGGTATGCGATCACTGCCGCGCCGAGGGTGTCGCCGACGTGTATTGGCATACCCACGAAAGCAACGAGGTGGCACGCCGGCTCTACGACCGGGTCGCGCGGAACACCGGCTTCCTCGTCTATCGGATCAAACCGCTATCGAGCGAGGATGGGGCATGAGCGCAGTATAAAAGCCATGACGTTGGCCAGCCGCTTCCGAGATTCGGAACAGATGTGGCGAGCGTTCCATCGGCACCTGCGCACCTCGCCCGCCAGCGATGTTCCGCGAAAGCTGATGTTCATGCGATATGCAGCATTTGGCAGGTGCGGGTTCTAAGCGGACATTCGAACCGCAGAAACTTATCCAACCGCCTCGCCCCTCCCCCATACTCCCTCCACCGCGCCCATCGGAACGCCGGATAGCGACTACCTTCGGCGCGCGCGGCGGAACCAGCCAATCCGCATGTCACGACAGGGCGCGACGCCGACGGCGGTTTGGCGGCCGCGTATGAATTTATTGCAGGACGAAGCGGGCGCGATGATGCGACGTCAGGAACTCGCGCATCTCGCGATAGGCCAGCGCTTCCAGTTCCCGGTGCAGGCGAATGCGGCCGGAAGCCTGCAGGCGGTCGTAATCGGCCTCGAGCGCGTCGATGGCGGCAAGATACCAGGCCATGCGCAACGCATCGTCGCCATACCGAAGACCTTCTTCGAGCGTGCGAAATGCCGCAACGCCAGCCGCGCAGGACGCTGCCAACGCGATCAACGCGCGGTCCCAGCCTTCAAGGCCGAACAGCAGCGACAGCGCAAGCAGAAGCGAGGCGATCAGCATCGCTACGGTCAACGCGTCCGCGCCGCGATGCAGCCAGGTCGAGCGCACACCGGGCGCGTTGAAATGCTCCTGGACCGCAATGATCGCATAGTGCCGCTGAACGCCGAAACGCAGGCGCCGCAGGGCGTCAAGAAGTTCGCCGATCTCCGATGCGGGAAGGGCCTTGCCGGAGGGCGGAGCAGCCGACCAGCGCGCATCCTGCCAGACATGCTGTGCGGTGCTGTCGCGCAGCACATCGAAAAGCGCGGCCGGGGATTTGGGGTTCAGCCGATCGGCGAAACTCTTCAGCGCTTCGGCGCGCTTGGCGTGCAGTTCCTCAAGCGCGGCCGGATCGGTCATGGCACGGACGGCAAGTTCGAGATTTCCGAGGATGAACTGGAAGTGAAGTTGGCGCAGCCGTTCAGCCTTGAGCCGGGTGACGAGCCAATCGCTGCGGTCTCGGCCAAAAAGCAGAGGCAGAAGGCCGAGGCACACTCCACCGACCAGCAACAGGGTGGACACGACACCAAAAAGGACAGCCGCAGCGCTGCCCGGCGCCGCGAGCCAGGTGGCAAACGCAGCCAGCACAAGGCCGGACGTGGCGATCCAGACAGCGAGAACCCCCTGGCTGCGGACCTTTCTCTTGGCTGCGATCGCGTCTTGATCGATCTCCTTGAAGAGCGTCCGCATCTCGGGCCAATCGACAATCGGGAAGGCACGCGGACGGTCCTTCCTGACCTGGTTGCGCGTCTCCTCATCGAGCAGTAGGTCGTCATTCTTCCATTGCGCCAGCGGATTGCGCACGAAGCCGGTTTCGTCGGGCTGGGTCTCGGCCATGTCAACTCGAAGCGCGCAAAGGATCGCCTGCTCGGGACAGCCAAGCGCAACAGGTTCCGCCGCCGATTCCGCAACGGAAGGGTTGCGAACCTGGCAAGTCCCTGCGAGGATGGCAAAAAATCAAGCGGCGCGCCCCGTCAGCCATTCCTCGAAGTCCCGTTCCGACTGCTCGACATTGTTTCTGACCAGACGGTCGATCTCCTGGCTGACCAGCTGATAGACCGGTATGTCGTAATCGTCCTCCGCGCTCCTGGCAGGGGCATCGATGCAGTGGTGGGAGTCCAGAGGTTCCTGACTGAACCGCATCGTGAGCAGCAGCCGCCTTTCTGTCAGCGTCGCGCGAAAGGGGAGCTGGCGCTGCTCGGAGCGGATCAGGCGGAACGACCCCGAGGGTTCAACGCCCCGCTGCTCCGCTATACGCTGCTGCGCTTCGATGCCCTCGCGGAGCGTGTTCCAGGCCCGGAACGAGCGGGCGAGTTCATCGCGAAAATCGTCGATGGAGGCATATCCTTCCATCTTCAGATACTGATCGCTGATCCGATCGGGGTGATTGGTCACCACCGTAACGTCAACGCCGTCCCCGAGAACTTTCTCGGTGATGATTTCATCGATATGGGCCGGAGCGCCGTGCCGGTCGGAGAACTTCCGCGTTCTGATCTTCATCCCTTTCGGCAAAACCAGGACAAGGTGTTTTTCGGCCTCGTTCATCATGTGCGACCAGTCCGACATCTCGATCGCTTTCGAGAAGCGGTCATAGGTCCTGATCGATCCGTAGGAGGTGGTGGTCTCGGGCAGGAAATCGGGCTTGCTGCGCCGGCCACGCCGATTGATGCCGACGATCCGTTCGGCGATCTCTTTCGACTTGGGCGTCGGATCCGCCCCGTCCTCGCGCAGGGCTTCGGCGCGGCTCACCGCGACATGTTCGATGTCTTTCAGATCGGAGGGCTTTTCGGCGCCGTCGAGCACGATCAAAATGGGGCTCATCCACAGCCCGTAGGCAAGGCCCAGTTCCAGATAGGCGTTCGGGCTGGATGTATAGATCACCGCGATCACGGTCTCGGCGGATTCGATATCGCTGCCGATCTTGTTCCAGATACCCTTTTCCTGCTTCCGGTCGCGGCCCTCGACGATCTGGATGGCAAGCCCCGCTTCCAGGCAAACCCGCTCGACCGGCCGCAGAACGTTCTCGATGAGGCCATCGATGACCTTGGCGTGCTCCTTCTGCTCGTCGGTGCCCTCAGGATCGCCATAAGGCGTGATGACGAAACAAGTCTTCTTACGGCTCGCCCCCGGTGCCATAACACGTCTCCGCACGAAATCGTCTTCAGTAAAATTATAGTTAACTTTTCATTAATTGTTGTCAACGCATCCTTTCTTCATCTGCAGGGGATGAAGAATGGCCGATATCTTGGAGTTCCGGACGGGGGATAGCTGTGAGCGGGATCGATCGACCGGGCCCGGCGAAGTCATACCCATGAAGCATGTCGATCTAGACGTCGTGCTGCGCATGGTCGTCATGCTGCGGCGCATGGACAATCCGGCATATCTCGACGACTTCAACCGTCGCACCGAGATCAATGAGCCTGTCGCGCCCGGGCGCACAAATCGTTGCTCGGCGATCTGATCGGGGACGCCGCGGCGCCCGATGCGGCGCGGAACCGGCCGCCGACAGTACCGGCCATCGCCCGAACGCCACCCCGTCAGCCGAGAAGTCCCCTGGCATAGGCCGCCGAGATCATGGCGGACGCGGCGACAGCCGTATTAAGGCTCGGCATGCCCTGCCGCGCAATACGCGCGGCTCGTTCGGAATCGATTGGATCGAAGGACTCCGGCTTCGGGAAATGGCCCGGCGGCATCGGAATTGTGACGCTTGCATGGCTGGCCGCCGCCAAATCCTGCGGGACCCCGTCATACTCGTTGCCGATCAGAAGACTGTCACCGGCCTGCCATTCGAACGCCAGATGGCTCTGCGCGCCAGCGACGGTGTCGGAACGGACAAGACGGCCGCGCAGGTCTGAAACGCTGAGGGTCTTCACGATGCTTGGCGGGTGACGCTGCAGCGCACCGCAACCGAAGTCGCTTATCGTCCTCACCTTTCCCTTGTCCGAAAACACGCCGTAAGCGTCGTGGATCAGCACTGCCACCCTGTAGATCTCGGCAGAGCGCAAGATCATGCCGATATTGATGGGCGACTGGACACCGCAGAGAACAAGACGCATATTTGATTAAACCTTGATCTATCTGTCCCGTCGATGACGGCAACGCGCGATTGGAGTTTCGTCACAATGGTGGTTCTGCCATTTGGACTCAAGTCATCGGCCCAGCAGGACACAAGCGCCGAAATTGGTGCCGACCGACGCAACGAACTGATCTTCAGCTCCGATCCGTTTTCGGCGAAGGCCACACTTCCCGGAGATCCGCGTTTTTATGTCCGGACGGAGACGAAGTCCGACGGCACCGTCATGTTCACCGACTTCAATGGCGGCGCCGAACCTCCGTCAGTGCTTGGCGCCGCCATTGCGCGTCTGCTGGACAGCGTGGACACATCCGGACGCCTGCTGTTCCGGGACATCTACCCCGACTGGCAAAGCGATCCGACCGGCAGGATCGAAGTCGAGCGACGCATCCGGTTCCTGAAAGAGGCCGTCAACGATTTGCCGCACGACGTGACGCGCGGTCGGACGCTGCAGATCTGGGAAGAGGCTGGAAAGATCTGTGCTTCGTTGGAGGCATGCGGCCAGAAATCCTGATTTCGGTCCGGTCCGGTTCATCGGCACCCCGGTTTGGGTATTGGAATCGAAGCTCCGGCACCAGCACCCGCAATTGACAATCGCCGCCTGCGCACGGGACGAGCGGTTGGGCCGCCGCGACGGGCGAAACGTCGGACCCCGGCATTCCGGGCCGTCCCTGCTTCTGGGTTTCGTTGCATGCGCCGGGCCGTGATCCGGGGTGCCGTGTATCGGGCGCACCGCACCCTTCATCCCTGCCTGCAAGCGTCGAAGCGACGACCGTTCTCCGAGATTTTGGAAATGGAATGAAGGATGTGGGCGGAACTGCGGCTGCCGGCCGATCCGGGGCGGGCGGCCCGCCGCATAGCGCTGAATTCCTTGACAAAACGGTCTTTTCATGTGTCCGGTCGATCCACCGGGGGACACACTGAAAAGGCGGCCTGACATGCGATCGACCATCTGGACCATCGGCGAGGGGTTTGCCGCGCTTGGGCGCGTTGCGGCGCTTGGCATCCTGCTTGGCTTTGTCTCGGCGTGTCAGACCGCGGACGTGACGGCCCAGCCGGACTATTTCACGCAAATCCGGCTCGCCCAGGTGGATGTCGATTTCTCCGGCGCCCAGCGGCCGCTTCTGGTCGCCGACATCGACGGTCAGGTCAGCGCGCAGGCCGCCGGCGGAACCGGCGCCGGCGCGCTCGGCACACGCCTTGGTCTGGTCAACCAGCAGGGCCGCCAATCCGCCGTTGAAGCTGCGATTGCCGAAACCGTGCGGGCCCATGTCGACGATGCGCTGCGGCCCATGTTCACCGGGACCCGCCCGGTGCGCGCCGTCGTCTCGGTCAGGTCGGTGTTCATCAGGAGCCGCGCGAGCCTGCAGCAGCTCACCGGAGCCGCGGTGACCGTCAATGGTCAAAGGCGGCCGGACAATGCCCAGTTCGTCGCCGAACTGACCCTTTATGATCTCGAAACGGGCATTCCCGTCCAGAACGTCCAGCCGATCACCCGCACCGACGATGGCACGATCGCGCTTGCCGGCGGCGGTCCGCGCGGGCCGGTCTACGGCCGCTCGCCGCGCCTCAGCCAGCTGGTCTTCGAATATGCCCAGGCGGCGGCCAATGCACTCAGACGCGGCGGCTCGGGCTCGGACTTCAGCATCCCCGCCGACCAGGCCGACATGACGACCATCTTCGAACGCCGGACCGTCACGACGTTCTGAGCCACCGGCTCACGCCCCGCCCGCTTCCCCATTCCAGCGATCCGGGCTAACCCTTGCCCATGCTCGCCTACACCGCGCGTCGCCTGCTGATCGTCCTCGTCACGCTGCTCGTGGCCAGCGCTATCGTGTTTTTCGTCCTGGAGATCGTGCCCGGCGACCCGGCGCGGCTGATGCTCGGCCTCAACGCCACCGAGGATGCGGTGCGGGCGCTGCGCGAGCAGATGGGCCTCAACGAGCCGGTGCTGACCCGCTATCTGTCTTGGCTTTCCGGCATGGCGCGCGGCGATTTCGGCGAAAGCCTGACCTATTCGGTGCCGGTGACCGAGCTGATCGCCGACCGCATCGTCGTCTCGCTGCCGCTGGCCCTGCTCGCGCTTGGCCTGTCCACGGCGATTGCCATTCCGGTCGGCATCTTCACCGCCGCCCGGCGCGGCACACGCGCCGACACCGCCGCCATGGCCGGCACACAGCTGGGCATCGCCATCCCCAATTTCTGGTTCGCGCTGCTGCTTGTCTATGTCTTCGCCGTGACGCTGCAATGGGTGCCCGCCGGCGGCTTTCCGGGCTGGGACGAGGGCCTCTGGCCGGGCCTGAGGGCGCTGATCCTGCCGGCCATCGCGCTGGCGCTGCCGCAGGCGGCGATCCTCGCCCGCGTCGCCCGTTCGGCGCTGCTCGAGACGCTGGCCGAGGATTACATCCGCACCGCCCGCGCCAAGGGCCTGCCCGCGAACATCGTCCTGTGGCGCCATGCGCTGCGCAACGCGATGATACCGGTCTTGACCATCCTCGGCCTGCAGTTCGCCTTCCTGCTCGCCGGCACGATCATCATCGAGAACGTCTTCTTCCTGCCCGGCCTCGGCCAGCTTGTCTTCCAGGCGATCAACCAGCGCGACCTGATCGTCGTCGAGGGGGTCGTCGTCTTGTTGGTGGGCACCGTGGTGATCGTCAACTTCCTTGTCGATCTCGCCTATGCCTGGGCCGATCCGAGGCTTCGCCGCCGATGACCGATCATCTCGTCGCCGCCGAACATGAGGACTGGCGCCTGTTCCTGAAAAAGGCGCGGGCCAACCGCTCGTTTCAGGCGGGCGCGGCGATCACACTTCTCATCGTCTTCATCGCCGCGGTCTCTCTCATCTGGACGCCCTATGACGTCGCCAAGCTGTCGATCCCCGACCGGCTGCAGGGGCCGTCATGGAGCCACTGGTTCGGCACCGACCATTTCGGCCGCGACATCTTCTCCATGATCATGGAAGGCAGCCGGAACTCCATCGCCGTTGCGCTGATCGCGGTCGGCATCGGCATCGGCATCGGCGTGCCGCTCGGCTGCTGGGCGGCGGCCAGGCGCGGCTGGATCGACGAAGTCTTCATGCGGACCTCCGACATCATCTTCGCCTTCCCCGCGCTTTTGTCCGCCGTCATGATCACGGCGATCTTCGGCCCCGGCGCTGTCAACGCGATCATCGCCATCGGCATCTTCAACATTCCGGTGTTCGCGCGCGTCGCGCGTGGCGCGGCGCTGTCGCTCTGGCCGCGCGAATTCATCCTGGCCGCCCGCGCCAGCGGCAAGGGTCCGGCGCGGATCACCGCCGAGCACATATTGCCCAACATCGCCAATCTCTTGCTGGTGCAAGGCACGATCCAGTTTTCGCTCGGCATCCTGGCCGAAGCCGGGCTCTCCTATGTCGGCCTTGGCGCCCAGCCGCCGGCGACGAGCTGGGGCCGGATGCTGGCCGAAGCGCAGACCATGATGGCCATCGCGCCGCAAATGGCCATCGCGCCGGGCATCGCGATCATCGTCACCGTGCTCGGCCTCAACCTTCTGGGCGACGGTCTGCGCGACGTGCTCGACCCAAAGCTGCGGCGCGAACGATGACGGCGCCTATCCTGACCATCGACAAGCTCGATCTGGCGATCGGCGGCGTGCCGATCCTCAGGAGCATCGACATGGTGGTCGAGGCAGGCAAGGTGCATGCGCTGGTCGGCGAAAGCGGCTCCGGCAAGTCGATGACCGCGCTGACGGCGATGCGGCTTCTGCCCCATGGCGCGGACGCCGCAGGCACGCTGCGCTTTGGCGACGAGGATCTACTGACGGCGACCGAGGAGCGCATGTGCGCGCTGCGGGGCGACGATATCGGCATGGTGTTCCAGGAGCCGATGACGGCGCTCAACCCGGTCAAGACGATCGGCGAGCAGGTCGCCGAGGGCATCCGGTGGCACACCGGCGCAAACCGGGCCGACGCGGAGGCTCGCGCCGCGCACATGCTCGAGCGGGTCGGCTTGCCGCGCGCGCGTTTTCCGCTCGACCGCTATCCGCACGAACTGTCCGGCGGACAGAGACAGCGCGTCGTCATCGCCATCGCCTGCGCATTGCGGCCCAAACTCCTGATCGCCGACGAGCCGACCACCGCTCTGGACGTGGTGCTGCAGGCGCAGATCCTCGACCTTTTGCGCGAACTGGTCGCCGAGGACGGCATGGGTCTTGTGCTGATAAGCCACGATCTGGGCGTCGTTGCCGGCATGGCCGACGACATCACCATATTGCGCCGTGGCGAGGTGCAGGAGGCCGGCCACGCGGTCGGCGTGCTGCGTCGGCAAAAACACCCTTATACGCAACAACTGGCCGAAGCATCGGCGCATGTGCCGCAATGGGCCGGCCGCACGAAACCGGCGGACCATTGGGGCCTTCTAGAGGTGCAGAGCCTCGTCAGGGATTATCCCGGCCCGCGCACGGGACTGTTCTCGCGCGGCGAGCCGTTCCGTGCCGTCGACAATGTCTCCTTTTCGGTCCCGCCCGGGCGCTCTGTCGGGCTTGTCGGCCAGTCAGGATGCGGCAAATCCACCCTCGCGCGCATCGTGCTGGCGCTCGACAAGCCGACCGCAGGCATCGTTTCGTTTGACGGCATGGAGACGTCCAGGCTCAACGACCATGATGCGCAGATGGCGCTGGCGCGGCGCGAGATGCAGGTGGTCTTTCAGGACCCTTACGGCTCCTTCAACCCGCGCCAGACCGTCGAGCGGCTGGTTGCCGAGCCGCTGCATCTGGAAGAAAAGCCCTTGAGCCGTACGGAGCGGCGCGAGCGCATCGCATTCGCGCTGGAAGAGGTGGGCATGCCGGCCGATGCCATGCGCCGCTATCCGCATGAATTTTCCGGCGGGCAGAGGCAAAGGCTGGCCATTGCCCGCGCCATCATCACGCGGCCCAAGCTGGTCGTCTGCGACGAGCCTGTCTCGGCACTCGATGTGTCGATCCGCGCGCAGATCCTCGACCTGTTCGCCAAGCTCAACGATGAACTCGGTCTCGCCTACCTCTTCATCACCCACGATCTGACCGTCGCCCGCGCGATCACGCACGAGGTGATGGTGATGGATCATGGCCGGATCGTCGAACGCGGCACGACGAGCGATGTACTCGACAATCCGCAGACCGAAGCGGCGCAAAGGCTGGTCGCCGCGGCGCCGGATCTGAACAGGGCGATCGAGGCGCGGATTGGAAACACAATGCTTCACCTCCCCCTTGAGGGGAGGTCGGCGACTGCTGAGCCCCGCAAGGCAAAGCCGGGTGCGGGGTAACGGTGGTGGGCATCGATAACCCCCACCCGGATCAGCTTCGCTTCGCTCGCCTCTCCGACCTGCCCTCAAGGGGGAGGTGGAACGCCTCTCACCCCGCCAAGACCGCCAACGCACCGACCAACGCCGTCAGCGCGGTCATCGCCCGCCAGAAGACACCGAGCGCCGCGTCGATGTCATCCGGCCCGGTGTCCTTGCGCCCCTCGTCATTCATGAAAGGCTCATCGGCCATATCGCCGCGGTAAACGCGCGGTCCGCCAAGCGCGAGGCCGCTCACGGCTGCCATGGCACTTTCAGGCCACCCGGCATTGGGCGAACGGTGCAGCCGCGCATCGCGCATGACGGTGCGGATGCGGTCCCGCCACCGGTCCAATCCGCCGGCTGCGACGATCAGCAGCGCCGTCAGCCGTGCCGGCAGCCAGTTGGCGAAATCGTCCAACCGTGCCGACGCGCGGCCGAAGGCGCGATGACGATCGGTTTTGTGGCCGATCATCGAGTCGGCGGTGTTCAGCATCTTGTACGCCAGAAGGCCGGGCAGGCCGAACACGGCATACCAGAAGGCCGGCGCGACGACCCCGTCGGATGCGTTTTCGGCGAGGCTCTCGACCGCGGCGCGGCAAATGCCCGCTTCGTCCAGCGTGTGGGGATCGCGCCCGACGATCATCGACACCGCGCGCCGCCCACCATCGATGCCGCCGGCGCGCAGACCTTGCGCCACCGCACCCACATGATCGGCCAGCGACTTCTGCGCTAAGAAAACCGCCACCAGCACCGCTTCGAGCACAAAACCAGCGCCGCCCAGCGCGTCGAACAGATCGCCGAGAAACGTTCCGGCAACGATCGCGCCGATCATCAGCACGGCGATCGTCGCAAACCCGTTTTTCTCACGCCGTGTTTCCGATGCGCCATTATCGTTGAAGCGGGTATCGGCCCACCCGATCAGCATGCCGAAGCCGACCACCGGATGCGGCACGCGACGCCACAGCCAGTCCGGATCGCCGATGAGGCGATCGAGGATCAGCGCGGCAAACAGGATGACGAGCGTTTCGGCCATTCCCGCGTGATGGGCCGATCAGACCGCCTGCGCAAGCGCCTTTTCGAGCCGCGCGAACGCCGCATCGTCTCCCGGCAGGCCGAAGCGCAGCCAGGCGGCATCCTTGTCGAAAGATCGCACCCAGATGCGTGCCCGGGCGAGTGCCGCGGCAATGCCCGGCGCGCGGTCATGAACGGCGAGCACGAACAGGTCGGTATGGCCTGCAATCGCAAAACCGTGCCGTTCGAGCAGCCCGGTCAGCCGCTGCCGGTCGCGCATCAGCCGCGTGCGGGTCTCGGCGATCCAGGCGATGTCGCGCAGCGCGCGGCCGCCAACAAAAAGCGCCGGTCCGGGCACCGCCCATGGGCCGAGCAGGCGGCGCAGCCGCGCCATGTCGCCCGGCGGGCCGATGGCGAAGCCGAGCCTGATGCCGGCAAGGCCAAAGAACTTGCCGAACGAGCGCAGCACGATCAGCCCATCGTTTCCCGTATCGGGCACATAGGACGTTTCAGGCGCCACATCGGCGAACGCCTCGTCGACGATCACCGTGCCGCTGTGGGCCAGAAGAGCGGCCACCGCCGTGCGGTCGGTCTCGCCGGCGTGTCGTGCGCCGTCGGGATTGTTCGGATTGCCGAAGACGACCCCGTCATAGCCGTCCTCATAGGCCGGGATCGCGCGGACCGTCCCGACCACCCGGTCGGGCGTTGCGAGGCACCAGTCATACTCGCCGTAGGTTGGCGTGACGATACCGATGCGCCGGTTGGTCCCGATGAGATCGCCAAGCCGCTGGATGATCGCCTGCGTGCCCGGCGCTGCAACGATCGCGGCGCCCTCGGGCACGCTGTAATAGGCGCGCGCCGCATCGAGGCAATAATCCTCGAGACTGTGCTCGGGCAGCCGTTCCCATATTTCGGCCGGAATGGGCGGCACCGGCCATGGAACGGGATTGATGCCGGTCGACAGATCGAGCCAGTCGGCATGCGCGCCGCCAAATTCGGCGACGGCACGATCGAGCGACCCGCCATGACGCGGAGGACGTGACATCACTCAACCCTGTCGATCACGTGGCACCAGGACCCGGACACGGTGCCGACCCGGCGCCCATAATGCCCCAGATCGGCGCCCTGCGCATCGCGCACCGCAAAAAGCGCTTCGGCGTCGCCCTCGCGCGTGACGGTTGCGTAGTGGAACTCGTGCGCGGTCAGCGGCATCGGCCAGGGCGCCCCGGCCATCGGATCGAGCCGGCGGTAGCCCAGATGGCGCGTGCGGGTGGCAAAGCTGGTCTCGACCGGCAACAGACCAAGCATGGCATGGCGGACGCCATCGGCACCGGTCAGCCCTTCGCCGAGAACCATGTATCCGCCGCACTCGCCATAGATCGCAGCGTTCCGGTCACGCGCGGCCTTCATGCCCGTCTTGAACCGCGTTGCGCCGGCGATCGTCTCCGGATGCAGTTCGGGATAACCGCCCGGCAAAAACACCGCGTCCGCATCGGATGCCGGCGCTTCGTCGGCCAGCGGGGAGAAGAAGGAAAGCTCTGCCCCCTGCCCGCGCCATCCCTCGAGCAAATGCGGATAGCAAAAGGCAAAGGCGATATCGCGGGCAATCGCCATGCGTTGACCAAGAGGCGGCAGGCGCGGAACGGACGCCTTGCCTGAAGCCCGTGGAAGGCCCATTGCGGCCAGCGCCTCCAGATCGCAGCCGCGTGCCATCACGGTGCCGGCATGGGCGATGAAGGCTTCGAGCGCCGCATGCTCGCCGGCCTGCACGAGACCGAGATGGCGCTCGGGAAGAGCGAGCGCCGTGTCGCCGGGCACCACGCCGAGCACGGGGACACCGAGCGGGTCGAGCGCGGCGCGCAGCATGGCCTCGTGCCGGGCGCTGCCGACCCGGTTGAGGATGACACCAGCAAAATCAACATCCTTGCGATGGCTGCGGTAGCCGGACACCAGCGCTGCAATTGATTGGGCCATGCGCGAGGCATCGACGACGAAGACGATCGAAAGGCCCAGAAGGGCGGCAAGGTCGGCCGCGCTTCCGGTTCCATCTGCCGCGCCGTCGAACAGACCCATCATCGCCTCGGTGACCAGAAGCCTGTCAGCGCCGTGGTCCGGCGCCAGCGCCCGCAACAGGTCCGGCCGCATCGCCCATGGGTCGAGATTGATGCAAGCCTCGCCGCTCGCCGCCGCATGGAAGGCCGGATCGATATAGTCCGGTCCGGCCTTGGCTGGCGCCAGCGCATGGCCCGCATCGCGCAGCGCCCGCAAAAGCCCGAGCGTGACAACCGTCTTGCCGCTGCCCGAATGGGGCGCGGCGACCAGAAATCCGTTCATCCGGTTTCGTCCCGGCGGCGCGCGCCCAGCGGATCGGGATCGAGCACCCGGCCCGACGACAAGGCGCCCAGCCAGTCGAGCCCGGAACGAAGGCGCACCACTTCGCCGACAACGACGATCGCCGGCGGCTCGAGCCCGGATTCGGCGACATCGGCTTCGGCGCGCCCAAGCGTCGTCTCCAGGACCTGCTGCCGGTCGGTCGCCGCGTTACAGACAAAGGCGACCGGTTCATTGGGCGCACGGCCCTCGGCGATCAGCCGCCCGGCGATCGCGCCGATATGCTTCATTGCCATGTACATGACGATCACCGGAGCCCCCTTGGCGACATGGTGCCAATCGATCGCATCGGGCATGACGCCGCCCGAATCATGGCCCGTGAGGAAGGTGACGGCATGGTTGGTGTCGCGATGGGTCGCCGGAATGCCGGCATAGGCGAGGCCACCGATGCCCGCCGTTACGCCCGGCACGATGCGGAACGGCACGTCATGGGCGGCCAGCGTCAGCGCCTCTTCCCCGCCGCGCCCGAAAACGAACGGGTCGCCGCCCTTCAGCCGCAGTACACGCTTGCCCGAGCGGGCCAGTTCGACGAGGCGAAGCGAGATGTCGCGCTGTTTGGCGGACGGCTTGCCGCCGCGTTTTCCCGCATATTCGAGCGTTGCGCCCGGCCGTGCCAGTTCGAGGCATCGCGGATCGACCAGCGCGTCATGGACGATCACATCGGCATTCCCCAGCGCGTGCGCCGCATGCAGCGTCAAAAGACCCGGATCGCCGGGCCCCGCGCCCACGAGCCAGACATGGCCGGGCACGAAGTCCGGTGCCGTCTCGGGCCAAATGCTCTTGGGTGCGATGGGTTCGGTCATCGGCGGCACGTCATCTTCAAGTCATCTTCATGTCGCGTCACCCCTCACCTATAAGGCAGTGATGAGCGCCACGCCACCATCTCAGGCCGAGCCCGACGCCGGAGCGCGCAAGCCCGGCGGCCCGCTGCGGCGCGGATGGACGACGGGCGCCTGCGCCACCGCCGCCGCCAAGGCCGCGCTGACCGCGCTGCTGACGGACGCGTTCCCCGATCCGGTGACGATCACCCTGCCCAAGGGCGAAACGCCCGCCTTTGCGCTCGCGCATGAAAAGCGCGGCGACGGCTTCGCCGAAGCCGGTATCGTCAAGGACGCGGGCGATGATCCGGACGTGACCCATGGCGCCATGGTGATCGCGCGGGTCGGATGGGGCGAGCCGGAAAGCGGCATAACCTTTCATGCCGGCGACGGTGTGGGCACCGTGACAAAGCCGGGCCTGCCCATCGGGCCGGGGCAAGCGGCGATAAACCCCGTGCCGCGCCGGATGATGGCCGAAATCATTGGCGAGGTGTGCGCCGAACATGGCATTGCGCCCGACATTGCCGTGACGATCTGTGTGCCCGATGGCGCCGCGATTGCCGAACGGACGTGGAACCCGCGCCTTGGCATCGTTGGCGGCATATCGATCCTCGGCACGACGGGAATCGTCCACCCCTTTTCCTGCGCGGCATGGATTCACTCCATCCATCGCGGAATCGACGTGGCGCGCGCGGCCGGGCTCGACCACGTGCTCGGCTCGACCGGCTCCACCTCGGAGGCTGCCGCTCAGGCGCTCTACAATCTGCCTCAGATCGCGCTTCTCGACATGGGCGATTTCGCCGGCGGACTGATCAAATATCTGCGGGCACACCCGGTGCCGAAACTGACGATAGCCGGCGGCTTCGCCAAGATCACCAAACTCGCCCAGGGCGCACTCGACCTGCATTCCGCGCGCAGCCAGGTGGACATGGCTTTCCTAGCCGATCTTGCCGGAAACGGCTTGAATCAGGACATGAAGGCGCGGATTCTATCCGCCAACACCGCAGCGCAAGTGGTTGAAATCATGAGCGATACGAAAATCGATATCGCGGCGGACGTGGCCGGTCTGGCCTTGGCAACGGTCATGGACACGCTGCGCGGCGCGCCCGTCCAGGCCGAGATCGTCATCGTCGACCGCACGGGTGCGATCATCGCCCGCACGGGGTTTTCGTGACCGAAACTGTCCTCATTCTGGGCGGCACCAGAGAGGCGGCGACGCTGGCCAGACGACTCGTCGACGCCCATCCGGACTGGCGGGTCGTAACCTCACTGGCCGGCCGGACGGCCGAGCCCGCGCCGGTCGCCGGAGAGATACGCACCGGCGGATTTGGCGGCATCGCCGGCCTCGCCGACTTCCTGCGGCGCGAACGGATCACGCGGATGATCGACGCGACCCATCCCTATGCGCGGCAGATCTCGGCGAACGCGGCCGAAGCCGCAGCGCTTGCCGGCGTGAAGCTGGATGTCCACACGCGTCCGCCATGGGACCGGCAGCCCGGTGACGACTGGCAGGAGGTCGCTTCGGAAGCCGACGCAGCCGCAGCGATCCCGCCCGGCGCGCGCGTCTTTCTGGCACTCGGCAGCCAGCATCTCGCGCCGTTCGAGGCGCGGCGCGATCTCCACTTCATCGTGCGCATGATCGACCCGCCCGCATCGCCGCTGCCGCTTGCCAGCCACACGATCGTCACCGGCAAGCCGGGCCCGGCCGCCGAGGAGGAGCGTGTGCTCCGGGACCATGCCATCACCTGCATCGTCTGCCGCAATTCGGGCGGCGACGGCGCCTATGGCAAGATCGAAGCCGCACGCACGATCGGCATTCCCGTCATCATGATTGCCCGCCCGGCCTGATCGGGCAGGCGATCACCGCGCCGTGGGCAAGGCTGAAGCGCTCATGCCAAGGGCGGCGCTTGCATCTATTTAGCATTTATGTTAATTAACTGATATGCTAAATAATTCAGACCCCCAAATGCTCGATGCAACCTTCGCCGCCCTGGCCGACCCGACACGGCGCGCGGTCCTTGCGCAACTGGCCGACAAGGGCGAAGCGACCGTCACCGAACTTGCCGAACCGTTCGACATGTCGCTGCCCGGTTTTTCGCGCCACCTGAAGGTCCTGGAGAAGGCCGGCCTGATCGAGCGTTCCCGACAGGCCCAGTTCCGCCCCTGCACCATCAATCCCGAGCCGCTGAAGGAAGCGTCCGACTGGCTCGCCGATTACCGCAAGCTATGGGAGGCGCGCTTCGACCGGCTCGATGCGCTGCTTGCCGAACTGCAGTCCGACCCGACCCAGACCGCAAAGGAGGATCATGGTGACCCATCCAAATGAATCCGCCAGCGCGCCGGATGACGACAGCTCCGCGACCGCCTTCACCATCGACCGCGTCTTCGACGCGCCGGTGGACCTGGTCTGGCGATGCTTCACGGAAAAGGCGCATGTCGACGTCTGGATGCTGCCCGAACGCTTCGCTCTGATCGAGCAGGACGCCGATGTCTCGGTGGGCGGAAAATGGTGGTCGAAAATGCGCGATCAGTCCGACGGCGCCGAATGGCATGTGGGCGGCACCTATCGCGAGGTGGTGCAAAACCAACGCCTCGTTTTCACCCATCGCTGGACCAAAACGCCGTCGGGCGGCGGCGGCAGCGAACATCTGATCGCCATCGACTTCGAGGCGCGCCATGGCAAGACGCATATGCGCTTTGTCATGTCCGGCCTGCCCGACACGGGCAGCCGCGACGGCCACCGCGAAGGTTGGGCCCAGACGCTTGGCCACCTCGAACAACATCTCGCAACGCTGGCGGAGGCAGCCCGATGACCGTCGCCCACGAAAAGATCGAGATCGAGCGCATATTCGAGGCGCCGGTTGCGCTGGTCTGGCGCGCCTGGTCGGACCCCGCACTGCGCCAGCGCTGGCAGAACCCTTCCTCCAGCTGGACCATGGTGTTCGACAATTACGACCTGCGCGCCGGCGGCACCGAGATCTGCCATTGCGGTCCGGGCGATGAGATGACGGTGCACTTCACGTCCCACTATCCCGAGGTCGTACCGGAAAAGCGGATCGTCTTCACCACCGTCACCGCCGACAATGAAAACGTCGCCTCGGTCGCCGCGACCAGCGTCGAGTTCGAGGAAACGGGCGGCAAGACGCAGATGCGCTTTGTCGAATCGATCGCCTTCATCGACGGGCGCGAAAACCTCGCCGACCGGACCATGGGCACCAAGGCCTCCATCGACAAGCTCGCCGAGGTGATCGAGGCCGAAACCGCAAAGGAGCCGCGCCATGCCGGTTGAAACGATCCTCGAAACGCCCGGCAGCGATATTGTTCTGATCCGCGAGTTCGACGCGCCGCCCGAGCTGCTGTGGCGCGTTTGGATGGAGGCGGACCTGCTCGCGCGCTGGTTCGGGCCGGAGGGTTTCACCAATCACGACTGCGTCGTGGAGCCCAAGGTCGGCGGCCGCTGGCAGGCGATCATGCGCGGGCCGGAGGGGACCGAATTCGATCAGGACTATCCGATCAAATCGACGATCGTCGCGCTCGATCCGCCACACCGGCTGGTCGCCGCCGGCGGCAGCGAGGAGTATCCGGACGACTGGATGGAGCAGTACAACAGCTTCATGGCGGCCGACGAGCGGGAAACAAGCGTCGACATCGTGATGGAAGTGACGCTTGAGCCGCTCCCCGGCGGACGCACCCGCCAGACCATGCGCCAGACGTTCAAATCGCCCGAAGCGCGCGACGCGGCATTGAAAATGGGCGCCGAACAGGGCTGGTCCGGCAGCTTCACCAAGCTGGATGGTCTGCTCGAAACCCAGCCCCGGTGACACATGCCCCAGAAGCGAGACCGATGATGAGCGTAATTCCCGCCAACCGGATTTGCCTGATGTTCGACGGCGAGGCGCAGGAAGCGGCGCGCTTTTATGCCGAGACCTTTCCCGACAGTTGGGTGGGCGCCGTCCAGCGCGCGCCGAGCGACAACCCCTCGGGCAGCGAAGGCGATGTCCTGGTGGTCGAATTCACGGTGCTCGGCATCCCGTGCATCGGCGTCAATGGCGGCGCTTACTTCAGGCACGGCGAAGCCTTCTCCTTCCAGATCGCCACAACCGACCAGAAGGAAACCGATCGCTACTGGAACGCCATTGTCGGCAATGGCGGTGCGGAGAGCCAATGCGGCTGGTGCACGGACAAATGGGGCGTCTGCTGGCAGATCACCCCGCGCACGCTGACCGAGGCGATGGCCAATGGCGGCGCCAAGGCCAAGCGCGCCTTCGACGCCATGCTGACGATGAAGAAGATCGATGTGGCCGCCATCGACGCCGCCCGGCGCGGCGACCGGTCGCCAAGCTAGAGCCCTCAGCCCGCCTTGGCCTTCTTGCCCCTGTTGCGCAGCACATGGGCGAAATCGGCATTGTAGAGATCGCTGTCGCGGAATTCTGTCTTGCCGAACACCGGGCCGACCAGCACCAGCGCCGTCCGCGTGATCTTTGCCGCGCGCACCTGCGCCTTCATCCCGGCCAGCGTGGTGCGGATATAGAGTTCGTCCGGCCAGGTCGCGCGATAGGCGATCACCACGGGACAGTCCGCGCCGTAGTGCGGCTCCAGCGCCCGGCGGATGTAATCGAGATTGCGGATCGACAGATGGATGGCGAGCGTCGCGCCCGACTGGCCGAGGACTTCAAGCTGCTCGCCCTCGGGCATGGACGACGCTTTCATGCCAGTGCGCGTCGCGATCACGGTCTGGGCGATTTCGGGCAGGGTCAACTCGGTCTTCAGCGCAGCCGCGGCAGCCGCGAACGCAGGCACGCCGGGCACCACTTCATAGGGGATCGACAGCGCCTCCAGCCGCCGCATCTGTTCGGCCGTCGCGCCATAGATGGACGGATCGCCCGAATGCACGCGCGCCACGTCCTTCCCCTCTGCATGGGCCGCTTCGATCTCGGCGACGATCTGGTCGAGATGCATCGGCGCCGTGTCGAGGACACGCGCGCCCTCCGGGGCGGCCGCAACGATCTCGGGCGGCACCAGCGATCCGGCATATAGGCAGACCGGGCAGCGTTCGATCAGCCTCAGCCCGCGTACGGTGATCAGATCGGGCGCGCCCGGCCCCGCGCCGATGAAATAGACGGTCATTGGCTGCTGTCTCCCAAAATCTGCGCGCCGCGCTTGCCCGCATAGCCGCGCGGCGTATAGGCCCATCGGCGCCCGTCTCCCGTGCCGACCGTGCGCGTATCGGACGAGCCGACGATCACCACGGTCAGCATGTCCACATCGTCCACCTGCAATTCGGCGAGCGGCACCATGCGCACGGCTTCGCCGGGGCGCCCCAGATTGGTCGCCAGGATGACCGGCGTATCCGCCGGCCGATGACGCAGCAGTTCGTCGCGCGCCCAGGCAAGCTGGGTGCGCCGCTTCTTCGAGACGGGATTGTAGAAGGCGACGACGAAATCGCCCTCGCCCGCCGCGCGCACCCGGCGCTGAATGTCCTCCCACGGCGTCAGAAGGTCCGACAGCGAGATGGTGCAGAAATCATGGCCGAGCGGCGCGCCCGCGCGGGCGGCGGCGGCCTGAAGAGCCGAGATGCCGGGCGCGACATCAATGCCGATGCGCGTCGCGCCGTCGCTCAGTCCGCCCCGGTCGAGCAGTTCGAAGACCAGTGTCGCCATCGCATAGATGCCCGCATCGCCGGAGCAGACCAGCGCCACGTCGCGGCCCTGCCCGGCCAGTTCCATCGCGTGGCGGACGCGATCCTCCTCGCGACCAAGATCGAAATCGTGCCGCGCCTTGCCATCCGCCAGCGTGCCGAGCAGGTCCAGATAGAGCGAATAGCCCACCAGATCGCTCGCACGGCGCACCATGGCCGTGACCTCGGGCGACCGCCAGCCATCTCCCCCCGGCCCGATACCGACCACGGCCAGATGGCCCCTCGCCCGCCCCGGCAAATGGCCCGGCGTGAAAGGTTCCGGCGCCCTGCCGACCGCACAGGTCGCCCGCGCGCTCTTGCGCTTCTCGATCACGAGTGCGCCATCCGGCCCCGCCGCCGCCAGCGCCGCACCCTCGGCCACGCCATGGCAGCCAACCTCGGCAAAGACGATGTCGGAGGGATTGGCCAGGCGCGGCGTCTCCGCGTCGAGCGTGGCCGCGTCGAAGAACCGCGCCGGAACGCCGAAATGGCCGGCCACCGCGTGCACCGCCGCCTCGTCCGCCTTCACATCGAGCGAGACGATCACGCCCACCGAGGCTTCTGCAAAGCCGGCCCCGGCAAGTGTAGCGCGCGCCAGCGAGAGGGCTTCGTCGGGATCGCAGCCGCGCTCGCAGCCGATTCCCAGCGCCAGATGCCTTGGATGATAGACGAGCCGGTCCGCGGCGTCCGGATCGGCCTTGTCGGTGACGGCGATGCGTCGGTCGGCATCGGCCGCGATCGGCAGGCCGGAGCCCGTCAGCCAGTCCGCCGCGCCGTCCAGCGCCACGCTGTGACCCGCCACCAGATCGGCCATGAACCCGGCTGCATGGGCCGGGTTGGCCAGCACATAACCCTCGGGCGGCGCATCGAGCGCGACGCCGAACCGGACATCGCCCGCCGTCGTGATCGCGGCCTTGATGCCGAGCGCATCGGCGGCCTTGCGCGCCAGATCGTTGGCGCCGCGATGCCCGCCCAGAAGCGGCACGACCGCACTGCCATCGTCGGCAATGGCGATCACCGGCGGCTCCGCCTTCTTGTCCGCAAGCACCGGTGCCAGCAGCCGCACCAGCGCCCCGGCCGCCATCACCGCGACAAGCGGCCGGCTATCGCGGTAAAGCGCGCGCAGATGATCGCCCGCATCGTCGAAAAGCAGATCGGCCCTGTCGGCGCGCACGCGCTTGCGCGCGCCATGCACCGCGCCGCCGACAGATTCGGCAACCCTGCGCGCGACCGGCAACCCCGCTTCGCTCAGGGCCACAATGACGGGTTCTGACGCGCTCAAGAGCCTGTCTCCAGCACCGGCGACGGCCAGGCCTCGTCGCCCTTGTAGACGAGGATCATCGAGAAATAGGGCGCCGCATCGCCCGGCATGTCGTCGAGCCGGGCCAGCTTCTGGGTCTCGAGCGTCAGCCGCTCGGCATAGCAGCTTTGCGCGGTCAGCCCGCAGCGGTCGAGCAGCGCCCTCATGCGGCCGAGATGCCGTCCGACCTTGATGATCGCGGCGGCATCGCACGCGGCAAGCTGCGCTTCGATCCGGTCATCGCCGAGCGGCGCCGGGATCACGCTGAACACCTCATTGCGTGCCGCCAGCGGCCGGGCGATCGCCGCCCCGCCCGCCATCACCGAAGACACACCCGGTACGATCTCAAACGGATAGCGGTCCGACAGGCGCTGGAACAGATACATGAACGAGCCGAAAAAGAACGGGTCTCCCTCGCACAGGACCGCCACGTCGCGGCCGGCATCGAGGTGGGCGGCGATCTCGACAGCCGCGGCGTCATAGACCCCGGCCGCCGGAAAGCGCTCGGTGCGCATCGGCACGCGGATCGGGATCTCGACATGATCGGCACGGATGCAGCCGGCGACGATGGACCGGGCGAAGCTGTCGCCATCGCCCGGCGCCGGCCAGGCGATCACCGGAACCCCGGTCAAAAGCCGCCAGGCGCGTAGCGTGATCAGGTCTGGCGCGCCGGGGCCGACGCCGATGCCATAGAGCGTGCCCGTCGTCACGGCTTCTTGACCCACGACCATTGCGTGACCGGCATGGCCGGCTTCCATCCCTCGAACGGGCCGACCGGCGACGCCGTCTCCACCGATATGCGCTGCAATTCGCCGGAGAACTGGCCATAGGCCGCCTGCAAAACCGCTTCGCTATCCAGCGTCACCGCATGGGCGACGAGCCGGCCCAGCGGCTTGAGCGCGACCATGCATGCGCCGATCGTCTGCCGCGACACGCCGCCGCCGACGAACACCGCATCGGGCGGGTCCAGCGCTTCAAGCGCAGCCGGCGCCTCGCCGTCGATCAGTTCGAGCTTGGGCGTGCCGAGCGTCAGCGCGTTTTGTGCCGCCATCGCACGCCGCTCGGCCTTGGGTTCGATGCCGATCGCACGCGCTTCGGGCGCCGCGCGCATCCATTCGATGCCGATCGAGCCGCACCCCGCGCCCACATCCCACAAAAGCGCGCCCCGATGCGGCGCCAGCTTGGCCAGCGCCAGTGCCCGCGCGGTGCGCTTGGTCATCTTGCCGTCATGGGCAAAGGCATCGTCCGGCAGGCCCGTGCGCGGATGGATCACCGCATCCGGCCCGGCAATGCATTCGATGGCAAGCGTATGAAAATCCGGCACGCCCTTCGGCGGATGCTCGGCGGAACCATGCATGATTGCCTCGTCCGGACCGCCCATCGCGGCGAGCGCCGTCATGGTCGAGGCGCCATAGCCGCGCTCGGCCAGAAGCGCCGCGATGGTACCGGGCGATGTCGCATCCTTGGTCAGGACCAGCAGCCGCGATCCCGGCGCGAAGAACGGCACGATCTGTTCCGCCGCCCGTCCGTGCACGGTCAGCGTCTCGACATCGGGGATCGACCAGCCCATGCGGCAAGCGGCAAGCTGGAACGCCGACAATTGCGGGTGAAAGACGATCTCGGACGCATCGATCGCCTTCAGAAGCCGCGCGCCGACCGAGTACCAGAGCGGATCGCCGGTCACGAGCACGGCGACCCGCTTGCCCTTCTGCCCGCGGATCGTCTCGATCATCGCGTCGAACGGCGACGGCCAGGAAATCCGCTGGGCCAGATTGTTGAAGATCAGATCATGATGCCGGTCGCCGCCGATGATCACCTCGGCATCCTCGACCAGGCGCCGCGCCGCCGGCGACAGCCCGTCCATGCCATCCTCGCCGATGCCGATCACCTGCAGCCACGCGCGTCCGGACGTTTGATCGCTCATGTCGCAAGCCCGCCGGCCAGCCCGTTGACCGCGGCTTGCGCCATCGCCGTGCCGCCGCGCTTGCCGCAAAGCGTCAGATAAGCCATGCCGCGCGGGTCGCGCACCAGTTCATCCTTGCTTTCGGCGGCGCCGACGAACCCGACCGGAAAAGCGATCACCACCGCTGGCCGGCCCACGGCACCCCGGTCGATCAGTTCCATGAGCCGGAACAGGGTCGTCGGCGCATTGCCGATCGCCATGACCTGGCCTTCCAGCCGGTCACCCCACAGATCGACCTGCGCGCCCGCGCGGGTCATCTTGTGCTGCCTTGCATGGGCTGCAACGTCCGGCGCCGATATCCGGCAATGCAACGCGCAGCCATCGGGCAGAAGGTGCCGCATGACGCCATGGCGCAGCGTTTCCACATCGCAATAGATGTCCGCACCCGCATCCAGCGCCGCGCGCGTCCGCTCGACCATGTCGTCGCTGAAGCGCAGATCGTCGAGCACGTCGGGCATGCCGCAGGCATGAACGATGCGCGTGGCGACGGGACGGATGGCCTCGGGCAGCGCCGCAAGCGCATCGATCCGCGAAATCTCCGCGAACGAGCGCTCATAGATGGCCTCGGGCGCCCGGACATAGTCGATCATCGGCCCGCCTTCGCCTGATCCATGCTCTTGGGGCCAAGCGGATGATCCGCCTGCGGATAGGGATGGTGATGATGGTCATGGCGATGATCGTGGCCGTGATCGTGGTCATGACCGTGCGCGTGGCTGTGGGAATGATCGTGGCTGTGCACCGGCGTCCAGGGCAGGCCATGCTCCTTGCAGAACGCCTCGTCACGGCACCGCGCATCGCAATCGCCATTGCAGGGACAGTTTTCCGGCGCGCCGCCGACCCCTTCGACGTGATGATGGTGGCTTTCCTGCGCCAGCCCCACTTCCGCCTCGAACCCCAGAACCTGTTCGCGATATTTGCACATCTGGCAGTTCATGTTGTTGGTGCCTTCGACGATCTCGCGTACCCGCTCGACCATCGTGTCGATCACCAACCCATGATCGTTCAGATAGCCCGCCTTGATGAACTCGATCTCCGGATGAGCGGCGGCCACGGCATCGGTATGGCTGTAGATGCGCTTGACCAGAACGCCGGTGAACAGGAAATAGGGAAAGACGACAATGCGCCGGTAGCCGAGCTTGGCCGCATGTTCGAGCGCCGGCTGGACGAGCGGGAACGTCACGCCCGAATAGGCGGTTTCGCCCCAGCCGAACCCCATGCCTTCCCAGAGCATGCGCATCACCTTGGCGACGTTGGAGTTGGCGTCGGGGTCCGACGCGCCACGGCCGACAACGACCAGCATCGTGTCGTGCAGCGGATCGCCCTTTTGCCAGCCATGGGCGGCAAGCGCTTCTTCGATCCGCGCGCCGGCGGCCCGGATCATGCGCAGATCGATGCCCAGTTCGCGGCCGTAATCGACAACGATGTCGCGGTTCTGCGCCTGATAGGTGTTCAGAACCGACGGGATGTCGTTCTTGGCGTGACCGGCGGCGAACAGCATGCCCGGCACGGCGAGCACATGGTTGACGCCGCGCGCCTTGAGCGCGTCGAGTCCCTGATGGATCACCGGGTTGGCGAATTCCAGATAACCGTAATCGACCGGCGTGTCGGGAAAGCGCTCGCGCATCCGCTCGGCAAGCCGGGCGAACTGGCCGACCGCATTCTGGTTGCGGCTGCCATGGCCGCAGATCATGATGCCGTAGCGCTTGCCCGCCGGGGCACCGTCGAACATCAGCGGTTGCGCCGCAAGACGGCGCGATAGCCGAGAACCAGCGCGCCGGCGACGACCAGCAGCGCGGCGGCGGCCGCGCCCCAGCCGAGCCAGTGCGTATGGCCGGCCACTTCCTCGACGTGGCCCGGATGGCCGAATGCGGCGGTGGCGGCAAGCGAAAATGCGGCGGCGAGGGGCAGGCGGATGCGGGTCATGGATCGGTCTCCTGTCGGTTCGAGCGTTCGTCACCAACAGGTCCGACCCGGCACCGAGCGACGGGCGATCCACGCGGCAGTCCCGCCCTGGCGCTCCCGGATTGGGTCGGCGCGGACGGACACCGTTCGGCCACGCACGCGTGGCACTGCCGGCAACGGCGCGACGTTAGGGTCAAGCACCGTGCCGGTCAATCGGCGCGGCGGCACAGATCACGCCAAATGCGCCATCACTCGGCGGTGGGCGTGCCCTTGAGATCGAAGTCGAGCATGTCGGCGGTGCGTTCCAGAAGCCGCATTTCCTTCTGGTCGATCGCATGGTCCGCTTCGGCGATGGCGATCATGTGGTCGAGCAGCGCCTTGCGGCGCTCCAGCGGCAGATCGAGAAACACCGCCGAGGATTGGATGTCGCTGGTCTCGTAGGCATAATCGTGAAGATACTGGTAGACACCGTCCATCGCCTCCGGATCGAGCCCGAACGCCTCGCTGCAGATGCGTTTGAACGTATCAAGCTCCTCGCCGGTGACGGTGCCATCGGCGAGGATCATGCGGAACAAGAGCAGCAGTTCGGCCGTCAGCGCCGGGTCGCTCGCCACCAGCCGCACATTGCGCTCGCGGTCCAGCATGGACCGGATCGTGTCGATTATTCCCCCTGCCATCGCCCCCTCCAACTCGGCACATCGCATAGTTTACCGGGATTCGCCGCAAGGCCCAACGCCGTTCACGAAAAACGCCCTGCCCGATAGGGCACGGGATCGAAGTCCGGCGATTGGCCGGTCATCATTGCGGCCACCAGACGGCCCGCAACGGGACCGAGCGTGAAGCCCTGATGGCCATGGCCGAAATTCAGCCAAAGGCCCGGCAGTCCCGGCGCCTCGCCCATCACCGGCAGCATGTCGGGAAAGACCGGCCGCGCTCCCATCCAGGCTTCGTCGTCGACCGCTTCGTCCAGATCGAACAGCGCGCGGGCGTGGGGCATCGCCCGGTCCAGTTGCACCGGCGTCGGCGGCGCATCGTGCCGGGCGAACTCGGCGCCCGAGGTCACGCGCACACCGCGCGCCATCGGCGCCATGACGAATCCATGTTCGTCGTCGACAATGGTGCGCGTCAGATAGCCGTTTCCGGCCGGCGCGTAATGGCGGTGATAGCCGCGCTTGATGCCCATCGGCAGATTGAGACCGAGCGGCTCGAGCAACGCTTTCGACCAGGGCCCGGCGGCAAGAACGGCGGCCCCGGCCGCAACCGGGCCATGGTCGGTTTCGACACGCCACCCGTCCCCGTCGCGCCCCAGTCCGGCCACGTTGCGCTCGACGGTTTCGCCGCCGAGCCGTTCGAACAGGCGGGCATAGGCGCCGGTCAGGGCGCCCGGGTCCGAACAGGTCCACGGGTCTTCATAATGGACGGCGCCGGCCAGCCGGTCGGTCTTCAGATGCGGCTCGAGCGCAGCAAGCGCCGCTGCGTCGGGCGTCGAGACGGACAGGCCCAACCCTTCAAGCTCGGCCAGTTCGCCGGCAACCGCGCGCAGCGCCGCGTCCGATCGGAACACGCGCAGCCAGCCCTTTTTCGCGATGAGCTCTTCCGCACCGGCCTCGGCCGCAAGATCGGCATGGGCGTCGAGGCAACCGGCGAAGAGCGGAATGTTGGCTTCATAGGTGCGCCGCGCCGATCCGGGATTCGAAGCTCGGAAGTAGCGCCACAGGAACGGCGCGACCGCCGGCAGCGACGACAGGTGATAATGCGCTTCGGTGCGCCGGTGCAGCGCGTAGGCGATCAGCTTCGAAAGGCTGCGCGGGAACAGGTAGGGGTGAACGCCCTCGCGCTGAATCACGCCGGCATTGCCGAAGCTCGTCTCCCGGCCCGGCGCCCGGCGGTCGATCAGCACCACATCGGCGCCTCGCCGAGCCAGGGCAATCGCCGTCGAGACGCCGACCATGCCTGCGCCGATGACGGCGACGTCGGCCTTCACGACACGACTACCGGGTGATGATTGTGCAAATCAGTTGGCGCCCGCAGATGTTCGGCCCGCCTCGTCCGGACCCTGCTCCAAAACACGCAATATGTCGTCACGCGTCGACGCCTCGTCCACCGGCATGCCGAGAAGCTTCATGCCCCGCAACAATTGCTGGCGCGACAATTGCTGCGCCAATCCCGGCGTCAAAAGGACATGTCTGATCGACTTGCGCGAACTTGTCTTCTCAGCCACAGCGTTTTCCATCATTCACCCTGCTGTTCTTCGGGCGGCCCGTTGAAACCAAGGTCCGTACTAAAATAGGTGTCGTAGATCGCATTGACAAGTTCGGGATACCCGCCCGGCAATTGCTCAAGACGCAATTCATCGATGATAAGGTCGAGTGCCTCCTTGTAGCGCTGCAAATACCACCGGCGCAATTCGTTCAAGCGTCGTTCCTCGGCGATGGCCCGCGAACGATCGGCAATCGTGGCGCGCCATATGGCAAGCGCGAATCCGCCGACCGCGGTCGCGATCAGGGCAAATGTCCGCACATGATCGAGCGTCACGTCCGGAAGCGCCGTCAGGCCCGCAAGCACGCCGATACAAATGGCAATGACGAGCATGATCATTGCGATCACGAACTCGACCCAATATCGGTCTGCCGAGCCCGAAGGCCGGGCCATGCGTCCGGCGGGATCGACCAAGCCTACCACTCCACCCCGATCTGCGCTTTGACGCCGGAGCGGAACGGATGCTTGACCAGTTCCATTTCGGTGACGAGGTCGGCGAGATCGATCAGCTCGTCCTTGGCGTTGCGTCCGGTCAGAACGACATGGGTCATGGGCGGCTTTTCCTCCCGCAGGAACTCGACCACCTCCTCAACCGGCACATAGTCATAGCGCATGGCGATGTTGATCTCGTCGAGCAGCACCATCTTGTTGTCCGGATCGCGGATCAGCTCCTTCGCCTTCTTCCAGGCCGCGCGCGCCATCTCGATGTCGCGCTTCTTGTCCTGGGTTTCCCAGGTGAACCCCTCGCCCATCGTGTAAAATTCGCACAGTTCGCCGAAATGGCGACCGATCAGGTCGCGCTCGCCGGTCTCCATGCCGCCCTTGATGAACTGGACCACCGCGCATTTACGGCCATGGGCGATGTGCCGGAAGATCATGCCGAAGGCCGCCGTCGACTTGCCCTTGCCCTTGCCGGTATGGACGATGACCAGCCCCTTCTCGTCGGTCTTGGTGGCCATGATCTTGTCGCGCGCCGCCTTCTTCTTGGCCATCTTGGCATTATGGCGGACAGCATCGTCCTCGTGATCGTCAACCTGGTTCATGGTCACTCATCCTCGTGCTTGGGCAAGTCGTCGACCACATTCAGCCATGCAACGCGTTCGTTCCAGAAATCGTGCCGCCCGGCCACGAAATCGGAATGGTCGTCGAGGCTGGTGGTGTACAGATGGACTTCCCCGGGCTTGCCGTCCCATTTATAGGCAACAGGCGAGCCGCAGGTCCGGCAGAACCGGCGCATGACATTGGGCGACGAGCGATAGGCGCCCGGCTCGTCGCCGGTGAAAGAAAACCCGTCCCTTGGAACGGCGAAAAAGCTGGTGACCGGCGACGACGTCGCGCGCCGGCAGCTCTCGCAATGACAATGCCCCGTCCAGATGATCTCGCCGGCAAAGGCGTAGCGCACCGCGCCGCAAAGGCAGCGTCCCGTCTTGCTTGTCATGGCGTCACGGTTCCTCCGGCGAGAGCCTCAAGATCAAACTGCGCCGAATTGGACTTCGGTGTCCACAGGCCCCGTGCAATCGCTTCGGCGAGGCGGTTGGCCATCTCGGCCAGCGCATCGGGGTTCTTGTCCGCAATGAAGCTGCGCACCTCGTCGTCGACCAGATAGGCCTGGTAGACGGCGTCGAAATGATGGTCGCGAACCGCGCCAGTTGTGGCCGCAAAGGCGAACATGTAATCGACCGTCGCCGCCATCTCGAACGCGCCCTTGTAGCCGTGGCGCATCACGCCGGCGATCCATTTGGGATTGACGACGCGGGCGCGCACCACCCGGCCGATCTCGTCTTCAAGGGTACGGATGACCGGGCGCTCAGGCCGGGAATGGTCGTTGTGATAGACCGCCGGGCGACTGCCCGTCAGTGTCTCGACAGCCGCTGTCATGCCGCCCTCGAACTGGTAGTAATCGTCTGAATCCAGCAGATCGTGCTCGCGATTGTCCTGATTCTGGACGACAGCCTCGAGCGACGACAGGCGCGTTTCGAAAAGGCCGCGCTCGCGCGCTCCTTCCGCCCCGGCGCCATAGGCATAAGAGCCCCAGACCAGATAGGCTTCTGCCAGGTCGGCCTTGTCGTTCCAGCCCTTTTCGTCGATCAGCGCCTGCAGCCCCGCTCCGTAGGCGCCGGGCTTGGAGCCGAACACGCGAAAGCCCGCGCGGCGGTCCGCTTCCGCGTCGGTGATGCCCTCCGCAACCAGTTTTGCGCGTTCTGCCCGCATCCGCGCTCCGATCGGATTATCGGCTTCTTCTTCGCCGAGCGCGCCCACAGCGCGCACGGCCTTGTCGAAAAGCGCGATCTGGTCGGGAAAGGCATCGCGGAAGAAACCGGAAATGCGCAGCGTGACATCGACGCGCGGCCGGCCGAGCGTTGCCAGCGGGATGATCTCGTAGCCGGTCACGCGCCGCGACGCACCGTCCCAGACCGGCTTGGCGCCGATCAGCGCCAACGCCTGGGCGATGTCGTCGCCGCCCGTGCGCATGTTCGAGGTGCCCCATGCGGTGAGCCCCAGCGACGTGGGCCACTCGCCATGGTCCTGCACGTGGCGCGTAACCAGAAGGTCGGCGGACTTGCGGCCCAGTTCCCACGCGGTTTCCGTGGGGACGGAGCGGCTGTCGACGGAAAAGAAGTTGCGGCCTGTCGGCAAGACGTCCGGCCGCCCGCGCGTCGGCGCGCCGGACGGGCCGGGCGCGACGAAACGTCCGTCGAGCGCGGTCAGCATGCCCTCGATCTCGGCCGGCCCGCAGGCGGTGACCGAAGGTTGCAGCGCAAAACGTACATGGTCGAGGGCACCGCGCGTCCGTGCCCAATCGGCGGGGCAGTCGATCTCGCCTCCGACCAGCTTCGCGGCGAGCAGCTCGATCCGCTCCACCGTGTCGCCATTGGTCCGCCATGGATCGTCGGACAGTGTTCGCAGAATGTCAGATTTTGGCCCGCGCCAAGGCTCTCCCATGGCGCAATCGAGCGGGTCGAAGGTCGCAGCTTCCACCTCCCCCTTGAGGGGAGGTCGGCGAGCCGCAGGCGAGCCGGGTGGGGGTTTGCCACCGATTTTACCCCCACCCGGATCAGCGTCGCTGCGCTCGCTTCTCCGGCCTCCCCTCAAGGGGGAGGTTTGGGGCGAACGCACCATATCCGCATCGGCCGCGATCGCCCGATGAAGGCTGTCCTGATCGGCCGATGGGACCCTTGCCAGCGCCACGGTCAGATCGGTCAGAAGCCGGCCTTCCGGCGCTTTGCCGAAGACATGCAGCCCGTCACGAATCTGCATCTCTTTCAGATCGCACAGATAGGCGTCGAGCTTTTCGAGCGCCGCATCGTCGGCCTCATCCGCCCCGATGCCCGCGTCATGGTCGAGCCCGATGTCACGCACGAGATCGAGAATGCGCGTCTTCAACAGCCGCAGCCGGCGCGGATCGTTGCCCGCCGCCTCGTAATATTCGTCGACCAGCGCTTCGAGGTCCTTGAGCGGACCGTAGCTCTCGGCACGTGTCAAAGGCGGGGTCAGATGATCGATGATCACCGCCGATGTCCGGCGCTTGGCCTGGCTCCCCTCGCCCGGATCGTTGACGATGAACGGATAGATGTGCGGCACGGGGCCGAGTGCCGCTTCCGGAAAACAGGTCTGCGACAGTGCCAGCGCCTTGCCCGGCAGCCATTCCAGATTGCCATGCTTGCCCATATGGGCGATGGCATGAACGCCGGCCTGCCGGCGCAGGAAGGCGTAAAACGCCAGATAACCGTGCGGCGGCACGAGATCGGGCGAGTGGTAGCTTTCCTTGGGATCGATATTGTAGCCGCGCGCCGGCTGGATGCCGACAAACGCATTGCCCAAGCGGGTCAGGGGCAGCGCGAATTCTCCGTCCACAAAGAACGGATCGTCCTCCGGCGCGCCCCAGCGCTCGGTGACTTGAATCTGATTCTCAACCGGAAGCGTTTCGAAGAAGGTCTTGTATTCGCTCAAGGAAATCGTCTCGCGGACCTCCCGGCCTTCCGTTGCCGCATTGGTCGGCCCGGCCTTGAGATGGTCGATCAGCGCATCGCCATCGGCGGGAAAATCGCCGACATCGTAACCCGCCCCTTTCATCGCCCTGAGCACTTCCACCGTGCCCGCCGGCGTGTCGAGGCCGACACCGTTGGCAAGCCGCCCGTCCCGGTTGGGATAGTTGGCGAGCACCAGCGCGACGCGCCGTTCGGCCGGCTGCGTGCGCCTGAGCCGCGCCCAGTTGGCGGCAAGATCGGCGACGAAACCGACCCTGTCGGCGACCGGCCTGTGCCGGACGATGTTGCATTGCGTCGCCTCGTCGAACGTCTCGGCGGCCTTGAACGCCACTGCCCGCGACAGGACGCGGCCATCGACTTCCGGCAGCGCGACATTCATGGCCAGATCCCGTGCGCCAAGCCCCTGGCTGGACTCGGTCCAAGTCTCTGCGGAACCGCCCGCCAGCACCGCCTGCAGCACGGGCGCGCCGGTCGCTTCGAGAACGGTCGGCACCCGCTGCGCACCCGGCGTCGAGACTGCAAAACCGGTCATGTTGACGACGATGTCCGGCGGGTCTGTCTCGAACAGCCGCGCGACCGTCGCCGCCGACACCTCGTCCTTCAGGCTGGAGATGAAGATCGGCGTCACCGCCACGCCGCGCACCGAAAGCGCCTCGGCCATCGCTTCGACCGGTGCCGTCTGGCCGGACTGGACCAGCGCCCGGTAGAAGATGATGGCGGCGCGGCCCTGCACGCTTTTTTGGGGAGGATCGACGCGCGGCGTCGGGTCGGACATCGCTTCGAAGCCACCCCCCTCTGTCCCTTCGGGACATCTCCCCCACATGGGGGGAGGACGAGGACCTGCCTCGACTTCAGTGTTTTGCCCGACGATGCGTGAGCCGACCGACGATGAAGCGAACCCACTCTCCCCCCTTGTGGGGGAGATGTTGGCGAAGCCAACAGAGGGGGGTATGTCCAACACCCCTGCCTTCAATAGCGGCACGGCCTCGGTGGCGACCGCGCGCCCCGCGACCAGATCGTGGCAGGCATCGAGAAACCCGCGCGCATTGGCCGGGCCGCCTTCGCGCAGCAGCGCCCAGAGCCGTGTCCGGTCCTGGGCACCCACCGTGCAATAGGGATCGAGCTGCGGGTCGGGGCGGTCGTCGCCAGGCAGCAGCGCCAGCGCGAAGCCGTGCCGGTCCGCCGCCGCACGCAGCGCTTCGACCGCATAGCCCCAATAGGATTGCCCGCCCAGAAGCCGCGCAACGACCAATCTGGCATGCCGGCCGGTGCGCTCGATCCACGTGTCGACGCTCATTGCATGGCGAAGCTGCATCAGATTGACGAGGCGCAGCGACGATGCGCCGCCGCGCGCGGCATGAGCCGCCGCAAGACTCGCAAGCTCCGTGTCCGCCGCCGACAGGACGCAGATGTCGCCGGGCGTCTGGCCGAGATCGACCGCTTCGTCCTCGCCCTCGCCGACCGAACCCTTCTGTGCCAGCAGCAGATGCATTCAGCCATGCACCCCCGATAGCATCCACACCCCCCTTTGTCGGCCATGCCGACATCTCCCCCACAAGGGGGGAGAGTGGATGCCAAACCGAGCCGCTTGCGCCTGCTCTCCCCCCTTGTGGGGGAGATGTCCCGGAGGGACAGAGGGGGGCGTGCCAAAAACCCTCGTCACTCGGCCGCCGCCACGGTTGGCAGCGTCGCCGCCGCAATCGCCGCTTCGATCGCGGATCGCTCCATGCCGTTCAGTCCGATGACGACCAACCGCGTTGACGGCGTTTCGTCCGGCGCCCAGGGCCGGTCGAAATAGGTGTCGATGCGCCCGCCGACCGCTTGGATGACCAGCCGCATCGGTTTGCCCGGCACGGCGCAAAAGCCCTTGAGGCGCAAAATGTCATGATCGGCGATCACGCTTTTCAGCCCGCCGACGAACTCCTCCGGATTGCCCACCGCGCCGGTCTCGACGACGAAACTGTCGAAATCGTCGTGATCATGATCGTGCGCGTGACCGTCCGCATGGTGCATCTCATGATGCGATTTGCGCGTGCCGATATGATCCTCGGCCGCCGCTTCAAGACCCAGCAGCACCGCGACCGGCAGATCGCCGTGGCTCGCATGGATCACCTTGAGCGGCCGGTCGACCTGTCCGGCCACGTTTGAGCGCACCGCCTCGAGACGCGCTTCATCCACGAGGTCCGCCTTGTTGAGCACCACCATGTCGGCGGCGCGGATCTGGTCTTCGAACAGTTCCTCAAGCGGGCTTTCATGATCGAGGCTGTCATCGGCGGCGCGCTGCGCATCGAGGGCGTCATGGTCGCTCGCAAAGCGCCCTTCGGCGACGGCGGCCGCATCGATCACGGTCACCACGCCGTCGACGGTCACCTGCGTCTTGATGTCCGGCCAGTTGAAGGCCGCCACCAGCGGCTGCGGCAGCGCCAGCCCGGACGTCTCGATGACGATATGGTCGGGCCTCTGCTCGCGTTCGAGCAGCGCGGTCATGGTCGGCACGAAATCGTCGGCCACCGTGCAGCAGATGCAGCCATTGGTGAGTTCGACAATGTCGTCCTCGGTGCAGGTTTCGATGCCGCAGCCTTTCAGCACGTCGCCATCGACGCCCAGATCGCCGAACTCGTTGATGATCAGCGCGATCCGCTTGCCGCCGGCATTCTGCAGCATGTTGCGGATCATCGTCGTCTTGCCGGCGCCCAGAAATCCGGTGATCACCGTGGCGGGTATCTTCGCGTTGAGCATGTCTCACCCCTTGAGTGTCAGCGGCAGCCCGGCTGCCAGAAAATGGACCGTGTCGGCATGGGCGGCGATCTCCTGGTTCAGCCGCCCGGCATGATCGCGGAAGTCGCGCGCCATCTTGTTGTCCGGCACGATGCCCAGGCCCACCTCGTTGGCAACCAGCACGACCGGACCCGCGCACGCGCCAAGCGCGTCGAGCAGTGCAAACGACCGCGCGCGGACGTCGGCTTCGGCGAGCATCAGGTTCGTGACCCAGAGCGTCAGGCAATCGACCAGCACCGCCTGACCTGCAATCGCCTCCCGCAACAGCACGGATTCGAGCGCGTCATGCTCTTCGACAAGCCGCCATTCGGCGCCGCGCCGCGCCCGGTGATGGACGATCCGCTCGCGCATTTCCTCATCGAAAATCTGGGCCGTGGCGACATAGACGGGGTCAAGGCCCGAGCCGGCGACGAGGCGCTCGGCAAACCCCGACTTGCCCGAGCGCGCGCCGCCGAGCACCAGTGTCACACCGTCCCTGAGAGCCGGTTCGCCGGTCAAATGTCAGCCTCGCCCGTTGCGGGACCGGCGTTCGGGTGAACAGTGCCGTCGCGGTGGGCCGCAGGAGGATCGCATTGATCCGCATGGGGTCGCGCAGCGCCTGTCCGGGAACGCCCGCCCCGTGAGGTTTCGTTGCGATCGGCAGGTCTCCTGGCTCATGGCGACCGGGCAGTGCCCGGATCGGAGCGCCCCGCCTTCCCGGATTTCTCCAGTGGCCGCCGCACGAAGCGGCGATGGACGTCCGCGCCATTCTACAGTCGCGGGGTCGGCTGCGATGAGGGCGCCCTGTTTGGGTCCGCCCGCCGCATTCCCTTTTCATCCGCCGCACATATGTTTGGCGGAACCGGTCATCGGCACGACGTTAGGCGGCGCGGCAAATCAAAGTCAACGCAAATCGGAACGGCAGCGCACCGGCCGTGCCGCCTCCAGCAACGCATCGGCGGCAACCACCGTTTCCAGTTCGTCGGCGATCGCATCCACGGCGGCCTCGATCCGCGCGCGATGGTCGACCGCCTCGGCTCCAATTCCGAAACCGGCCAGAAAGGCGCGCCGGAACCCGCCCGCGTCGAACAGGCCGTGCAGATAGGTGCCCATCACCCGGCCATCGGCGGAGATCGCGCCATCGGGACGGCCGTCGATGATCGCGACCGGACGCGCGCAATCGGGACCGATGGTTTCGCCCAGATGGATTTCATAACCCGTCAGCGGCACATCGTGCACGACGGACCGGGCCGACGCGTTGCGGACGGTCTTGGCCGGATGCATCACCGTCTCGATGTCCAGAAGACCCAGACCCTCGGCCTCGCCCGGCGCGCCTTCGATGCCCTTCGGGTCGCGCACCACACGGCCCAGCATCTGATAGCCACCGCAGAGCCCCACCACATGGCCGCCACGCCGCGCATGGTCGACGATCTGCCGGCGCCAGCCATTCCGGTCGAGCGCCTTGAGATCGGAGACGGTGCACTTGCTACCCGGAATGACGATCAGATGCGCATCGCCGGGAATCGGATCGCCCGGCGGCACCATGACGACATTGACGCCCTCTTCGGCGGCCAGCGGATCGAGATCGTCGAAATTGGCGATCCGCCCAAGCAGCGGCACGGCCACCTTCAGCATGCCGGAACGGTTCGCGCCGCCGAACATTTCAACACCGACCGAATCCTCGGCCGGCAGACGCCTTGCATCGGCCAACCATGGCACGACGCCGAAAGAGGGCCAGCCGGTGAAATCGGTGATCGCCGTCAGCCCGTCATCGAACAGCGAGACGTCGCCCCGGAACTTGTTGATCAGATAGCCGACGACCATCGCCCGGTCCTCGGGCGAAAGGATCGCGTGGGTCCCGGCCAGCGATGCGATCACCCCGCCCCGGTCGATGTCGCCGATCAGGACGACCGGAACGCCGGCGCGCGTGGCAAAGCCCATATTGGCGATGTCGCCGGCGCGCAGATTGATTTCGGCGGGCGAACCGGCGCCCTCGACCAGAACCAGATCGGCCTCGGCGGCGATGGTCCGGAAACTGTGCAGCACCGCATCGAGCAATTGCGGCTTCTTGCGCTTGTAGTCGGCGCCGCGCGCCGTGCCGGCCACCTTGCCATGCACGACGATCTGGCTGCCCGTGTCGCTCTGCGGCTTGAGCAGCACCGGGTTCATGTGCACCGAGGGTGGCACGCCGCAGGCCAGCGCCTGCAGCCATTGCGCGCGGCCGATCTCGCCGCCATCGTCGGCGACCGCCGCATTGTTGGACATGTTCTGCGGCTTGAACGGACGAACGGCCAGGCCGCGCCGGGCATAAAGGCGGCAGAGCCCGGCGACCAGCACCGACTTGCCGACATCCGAGCCTGTTCCCTGAAACATCAGCGCGCGCGTCATCGGCCTTGGTTAGACCGGTTGGGGCGGCGTTGAAAAGCGGTTTCGCCGATCGCGCGGCAAGAGGCTTTGGCGCAATGAAAAACCGCGTCGATCGTCATGATCGTCCGCGGCTTTGCATCACACCACACACATCCCCGAAACGCCGGGGAAAACAGGAACTCCGGTACGCAGTACCTGATCCGGAGGCCGTGAGGCCGTGTTGTCGCCTCGGGACACAGCTTTAGGGGAACAACGTTACCAGCAGGTTGATGAGACCTTAGCAAAAGCTGAACATCGGTCTTTTCGGCGCCGTTCCGGCAAGAAAATTGCCCGCTCCGACCCGTGGAATTTTGGGGGGACTGCTCTTTTTTGCAGATGGGCGGCGCATGGCCTGCGGCAATTTCCGTGTTCAGATCGGCCGCCGAACGGTCTATAGTGCGCCATGGTCAATAAACCGAAACGGTCCGGCTAATGCGGCTGCAGCGAATGCTCCTGACCGGCTTTGTGGCGCTGGCGCTTACGGCCTGCACCAGCACCGCCTCCAACGTGACCACCGAATATTATCTGGTTTCGGGCACGACGAGCGAGGCCCTTGACCGCGACATCCGCCGCAAGGGACCGATGCAGGGCCATGCGCTGGCCGTCGCGGCGATCCGTTTCGTGCCGGTGTCCGTCCAGCAGGACCAGACCGATGCGGGCTGCGCCTTTACGGAGGCCCTGTTCCGGATCGATGCCAACATCACCTTGCCGCGCTGGAAGGAGCGGGCGACGAGCCGCGATCGCGAACTGCGCGCGGCCTGGGATTCGCTGGCCCGCTATGCCAGGGCCCATGAGGATATGCATGTTCAGATCGCCGAACGCTATGCCCGGGAGCTGGGCAAGGCGATCGAGGCGCTGCCGCCGCGCGAGAGCTGCGAGGCGCTCGACAAATCCGCCGAGCGCGTCGTCAAGCGCATGGCGCGCCGGCACCAGGCCGAACAGCTCGCCTTCGACCGTGCCGAACATGAACGGCTCGAACAGCTTCTTCGGAAGGCCAGCAACGGCGACAGCTGATCAGCGCTGCGGCGCGGTGCGCTTGCGGCCATCGGCGCGCAGGCGACGATAATTGGCCCGGACACGCCGCGCATGCGGTTCGATGCTCGCATCGGCCAGATCGGTCAGCGAGCGCGACAGCCGATCCGGATCGGGCATGGCGCCGGAGAAGGCGTCGATCCAGAAAAGTGCAGCCGAGCGGGCCATTTCCGCCTGCGCGGCCCCATAGCTCTCGACGACAGCCGCCGCCTTCTCGAACACGGCCCGATGCCCTTCGGGCCGCCCGCGGCGGGCGGAGAATTGCGGCGTCGACAGTTCCCACAAGACCATGGGCAGACGCATCGCCATGACCATCGGCGACAGCATCAAAAGCTCGGCGCCGGGGGGCAGCCGGTCGTAAAAGGCCTTCGAGGCCACCATGTGCCGGATCGGCCGCCTGCCGCGCCCCTTGCGTGCCTGTGTCATCAGATGCCTTTCATTGTGCGCTGCACCATAGCATAGTGCAGCGCACAACAACAGCGAAAATCCGGAACGCGACCGGGCTCAGCGCAGGTCCTTTGCAGCCTTGTCGAGCGCGGCGCGAATCCGGTCGACGGCCGTGTCGATCGTCTCCCGCGTCCAGATCAGCGGCGGCGACAGAATCATCGTGTCCATCACCGCGCGCATCATCAGACCGCCCTCGATCGCGTGATCGCGGACAACGGACGCGGCATGCCCCTCGGGCTCGAAGCGGGCGCGCGTGTCGCGGTCCTTGACGATCTCGATGCCGGCCAGGAGGCCGAACGTGCGCACCTCGCCGACCAGCGGATGATCGCCGATCCCGGCCGTCAGCGCTTCGCCCAGATAGGGGCCGGTGTCCTCGCGCACCCGGTCGATCAGCCCCTCGCGCTCGATGATCTCGAGGTTGGCCAGCGCCACCGCGCAGGCCACCGGATGACCCGAATAGGTGTAGCCGTGATAGAACTCGCCGCCCTTGTCGACCAGCGTCTTGGCAATCCGGTCGCCGACCAGCAGTGCCGACAGGGGCTGATAGCCCGATGTCAGGCCCTTGGCCGTTGTGATCGTGTCCGGCGCGATGTCCATCGACTGGGCCGCGAACCATTCTCCCGTGCGGCCATAGCCCGTGATCACCTCGTCCAGCATCAGGAGCACGTCGTACCTGTCGCAGATGCGCTGGATTTCCGGCCAGTAGCTGGCCGGCGGGATCTTGACGCCGCCCGCGCCCTGGATTGGCTCGCCGATGAAGGCGGCGACATTGTCCGGACCGGCCTCGACGATCGCGTCCTCGACGGCCTTGGCCGCGCGCAGTCCGAAATCGCGATCGCTCTCGCCCGGTTCGGCCAGTTCGAACGCGTAGGGGCACATGACATGGCGGATGTTCGGCACCGCGCCATAAAGCTGCTCGTGCATCGCCGCCATGCCGCCGAGCGATGTCGCCGCGATGGTCGAGCCGTGATAGGCCCAGTCGCGCGAGATGACGATATTCTTCTCCGGCCGGCCTTCCAGCGCCCAGTAATGGCGCACCAGCCTGAGCGCGGTATCGTTGGCCTCCGATCCGGACGAACCGAAAAAGACCTGGTTGATGTGGTCGGGCGCGATCCGCGCCAGCCGGTCGGCGAGCAGCGCCGGCGTCGGCGTCGTGCAGCGGAAGAAGGAATTGTAGTAGGGCAACTCCTCCAGCTGCGCGGTGGCCGCGTCCACCAGCTCCTTTCGGCCATAGCCGGCATTGACGCACCAAAGGCCCGCCATCGCGTCGAGGATCTCGTTGCCCAGCGCGTCATAGACATAAGGACCGTCGGCGCGGGTGATGATGCGGCTGCCCGCCGCGCGCAGGTCGGCATGGTCGGTGAAGGGGTGCAGATGGTGCGCGGCATCCATCGCCTGCATCTGCTCGCGGGAAAAGTTCTGATAGCTCATGGAAATGCTCCTGTCGGATGTGATCGTGGCCCGTTGCGGGCCGGCGGGATCAGCGTCCGGCAGGCGGCGAATAGCCGATGCGCGCGCACAGCATCAGCAGGTCGAAATGCAGCGAATGGCTGGTTTCCAGAACGGTCATGACGCCATGCTACCGGCCAGAAGGGGTGGTGATCAACCCGTATCGTCCATGCCGGGCGGCCGGGTCCATACCCCTTACGGACGGGCCGGCGCCTGCGGCAGGCGCAGCACATTGGCGACCGACGCGCCAAGCGTGTTCCAGTCGTCGGCCGCCGCCTCCAGCGCGCGGGCGTCGGACCGGCCGAGCGATGTGCGTACCCGCTCCGCATCGCGGATCATCGCGATCACCAGCGGCGAGGAGGCAAAGCGCGTATGTTCGCCGCGCAGGTCGCGGCCGCCCACCGTGGTCAGGTCGATCACCGCGATGCCCAGCCGGTTGAGCTCGTCCACATCCGATCCGCTGCCGACCCGGGGCGCTCCGCCGCGCAGGCGCGACGACGCCCGCAGCGCCGGATCGCGGCGCGACACGAAGATCAGCCATGCCGGCGGTTTGGGCGCGATGGCGTGGTATTGCCGCTTGAACAGATCGACATCGATGTCGGGCGAGGCAAGGACGACGACGCCGATGCGGCCCAGCGTTTCGGTGTCGCCCGTCAGGCTGAGCTGCCGCAGCGCCTCCATGACCAGAACGCCGCCCATCGAATGGCCCATCACCGCGACCTCTGTCGCCGCGCTGCGGGCGACGATGCGCAGCGTCTCGACCAGATCGTCGCGGGCGATCTGCGCGCTTTCTCGGTCGAACAGATAGGCCGGCGGCATGCCCGCCGACGCCCATGAGAAATTGACCGACGTGCCGGGCACCTCGAAATCGTGCGCGATCTGTGCCTGCAGGAACACGCCCTCGGCAAAATCGGTGTTGTAGCCGTGCACGAAGACGAAGACGCCGCGCTCATCGGCGGGCTGCGCCGAAATCCGCTCGTTCAGCCGCTCTTCGAACGCCGTGCGGTCGAGACCGGTCTCGACACCGGCCGCGACGAAATCGCGGCGGGGATCCACATTGCGGCGCGGATAGTTCAGATCGCCCGGTTCCCGGTCGGGCGGGATCGAGACCCGCACATCGGCAAACGACAGCGCGGCCGAACGCGAGGTCGCATAGCCGAGCGCGCCCTCCGCCGACGGCGCCCGGGTGGTGGCGACCAGCAGCGGTTCGATCACCGCGCCTTCGGGCACGGCCGAAACCGGGGCGAACGATGTCGGGCCGGTCGCGCAGCCCGCGACGGCCAGGGCAGTGACGGCCAAAATGACATTGCGGCAAAGCACGCTGCGACCCCGCTCCGATACCGCGGGCGACCATAGTGCCCTGCCCCGCGCCTGCAAGTTACAAATGGGTCACACGCCCGGACACCAGCAGGCGCGCGTCATCCTCGCCGTGCCCTCGCAGGGCCGGTGCATGAAAGGCTGGAACAACGGGCGATCCGGAAAGCTTGCAGGCGATTTGAAAGTGGCGTTTGGAGCCTTTCCGCAGCATCATAGATGCTGCGGGGCCAAACGCGCTTGAGGGTTCATCACCCAGCCCCGCACCTCTGCGGCACCAGCCACGCCACCGTCCCTCTCCCGAACAGCCGGGGCATATCCGGGCTCCACGAAAGGGATCGCAGGAAGGATAAGGGCGGGCGGAGGATGGGGGATAAGTCTTTTTGGGGTGAACGTCGGCTTTGAGCCCAGTGTGAAGGATGCTGCGAACTACATGAACGACTGATATCGGGGTGGGCGGGGTTGTTCTCAACGTCTGAATTCGACTTACAATCGTTGCAGACGAGATACGCGCAAGATGGATTGAATCTTGCGCGCAGCCGTCGGATCAGCCTGTAATCGCCATCGCCATAACCAGTAAGCCACCCAAGCTTGCAATCCAGGCAAAGGTGCGCAGATACGGGACGCCGGTCAGATAAAGCGGCACGTAAATGATCCGTGCGCAAACGAAGATAATCGCGCCGAGCGCAGCACCGTCGGCAGCTTGCAACAGGAGAGCCAATGGAATGAACAGAATCATGGCCTCGGTTACATTGGCCAATGCGCGGTCGGCGCGGCCACAGACGAGGGATGCCTCCGGCATTTCGTCACGCGATTTCATCGCTTCCGGACTCCCTTTGAAGCGAAATGCGACTGGCAGCAGGGTTTGGACGAAGTAGAGGCCCAAGGCCATCAGAATCCAAAAGGTCATGTGTCATGCTCCACGTTGATATGTCGCGAACCTGCGCGTCGGTTGATCCCATATCAATTCCCTGCCACGGAATGGTCTGAACGGCCGGTTGTTGGTAGGCAGGTGTATGAAGAGCGGATCTGCCTCACCCCATTTCGGTGATCTCTTGCGTTCCTGGCGCGCCGATCGGCAACTCTCGCAGGCCGAACTGGCGTTATCGGTCGAGACGCCATCGCGTCACATCAGCTTCCTGGAAACAGGCAGGTCCAAGCCATCGCGTGATATGGTATTTCGCCTTTCGGTAGCGCTGCAAATCCCATTGCGTGATCGAAACCTGTTGCTGCGCGCTGCCGGTTTGGCGGATGCCTACGCCGTGGGCGACATTGCAAGCGATGACATGTCCCCGATTCATGGAGCCGTCATCCGCCTGATGACGGCGCATGACCCCAATCCATCGTTTGCGATCGATCGGTCCTGGGACATCGTAGAGATGAACGCGTCAGCGCGGTTTTTGGTCAGCCAACTGATTGGTGGAACTGCAGCAAGCCTGAACATTCTGGATCTTGCCTTCAGCCCTGACGGACTACGGCCTCATGTTCAAAACTGGGAAGACTTCGCGCGGCAAACGGTGCAGCGCATTCACCGCGAGGCTCTTGGACCGACCGATTTGAGAAATGCCTTGGACAGGATCAAGAGGCATCCAGCTCTGCCCGACAGGTGGTGGAACTTTGACGTAAAATACGCGCCCAATCCTGTCTTTCCGGTCCGCCTCAACATCGGTGGTGCGAAACTCGAACTGTTCTCGGTCATTGCCTCAATAGCGATGCCGACAAATGCGCTGGCACAGGAACTGCGCGTGGAGACTTTCTTCCCAGTCGACGAAGATTCCGAGGCTTTTTTGAAGCGGCTCGTTGACGGTAGTCAATAGGCTCCAAGGCAATGCGTCAGTGCGACGTGGTTGAATGGGCAAAGCAGACGCTTGAGCTTTCGATGGCAAGGGCGGTTTCGTCGGCATAACAGACGTCCCTCACCCCTCGCCCATCCGCCAGACCTCGTCATGGATGAGGTTGCCGACCCGTCTGCGCCCGCCTGTCTCCCTGGCTGTATCGGGATCGCTTCAGCCGAAGGCGTCGGGCATGGAGTCCTTCTTCTGCGCGATGAAGGCCAGCAGCGCCTCGTCGATCGAGGGGTCCAGATCGGGCGCCTGGTAGGATGCCAGCCAGTCCCGGCACAGCGCGTTGGCGCGTTCCTCGACGCGCTTGCCGCCTTCGGCCAGCCATTGCTCGAACGAATTGTTGTCGGCGACGGTCGAGCGGTAAAAGGCCGTCTGGAAATTGGCCTGGGTGTGGGCGCATCCCAGATAATGGCTGCCTGGCCCCACCTCGGCGATCGCATCCATCGCCTGGCCGTTGTCGCTCAGGTCGATCCCCTGACTCATTGCCTGCATCACGCCGAGCTGATCGACGTCGATCATGAACTTCTCATAGGACGAGACGAGCCCGCCTTCGAGCCAGCCGGCCGAATGCAGCGCGAAGTTCGTGCCGGCCAGAAGCGTCATGTTGATCGTGTTGGCGCTCTCATGGGCGGCCTGCGCGTCCGGCAGCTTCGCCCCGCACAGCGAACCGCCGGTGCGGAACGGCAGGCCGGCGCGCCGCGCCAGCTGCGCGGCGCCATAGGAGACGAGCGAGGGTTCGGGCGTGCCAAAGGTCGGCGCTCCCGATTGCATGGAGATCGAGGCCGCGAACGTGCCGAACAGCACCGGGGCGCCCGGCCGGCACAATTGGGTGAACGCAGCGCCCGCGAGCACCTCGGCCAAAACCTGCGTCAGCGTGCCCGCCACCGTGACCGGGCTCATCGCGCCGGCCAGGATGAAGGGCGAGACGATGCAGGCCTGGTTCGCCCGTGCATAGACCTTGGCGGCGCCCAGCATGGTGCCGTCGAACACCAAGGGCGAATTGGCGTTGATCAGATTGATCAGCACGCAATTGTCGTCGACGAAATCGTCGCCGAAGACCAGCTTGGCCATCGCCACCGAATCCTCGGCGCGCTCGGGCGCTGTCACCGACCCCATGAACGGTTTGTCCGAATAGCGGATATGGCTGTAGACCATGTCCAGATGGCGCTTGTTGACCGCGATGTCGACCGGTTCGCACACCGTGCCGCCCGAATGGTGGATCGACGGCGCCAGATAGGCCAGCTTCACGAAATTGCGAAAATCCTCGATCGTCGCATAGCGCCGCTCGCCTTCAAGATCGCGCACGAAGGGCGGACCGTAGACCGGCGCGAAGACGGTGGCGTCGCCGCCGATCTGAACCGACCGCGCCGGGTTGCGCGCATGCTGGGTGAAGACCGGCGGCGCGGTCTTCAGAAGCTCGCGGCACAGGCCCTTGGGGAAGTGCACGCGCTCGCCCTTGACGTCGGCGCCGGCCTGTTTCCACAGCGCCAGCGCCTCTTCGTCCTCGCGGAACTCGATGCCGGTTTCTTCGAGCACCCGGTCGGCATTGGCCTCGATCAGCGCCAGCCCCTCCTCGCCCAGCACTTCATAGACCGGAATCTTGCGGGTGATGTAGGTCAGTTGCGGGCCAGCGCCGCCGCCCGTGCGCGAAGCACGCCGCGCCGCCGCACCGCCCGAACCGCGGCGTCCGCGCCGCTCGCCGGCCGGCGCCGCCGTCTCCCCTGCGGGCTCTGCCATCTGATCCTGATCCATCTGCCCTTCCCGTCCAATGCAGCGCAGCCGTCATGCCGGCGGCCAAATCGTATGTCCGAACAGTGCCATGTC